TTTTTTTTTTTTTTTTAAAGGACCCTTTTTTTTAAGTGAGAGAGATTTTTTTTTTTTTTTTTTTTTTTTTTTGGCAGACACAACATCTTTATTTGTATGTGGTTCTGAGGATCAAATCCAGGCCGCACACACGCCAGGCGCCAGGCGAGCGCACTACTGTTTGAGCCACATCTCCAGCCCCTGCCACTAGGAATCTTAAACAGGACCCTTTTTTTTCCCAGTATTGGGTGTTAAACCCAGGGGTGCTTTACCACTGAGCCAGTCCTTTTTATTACTTATTTATTTAATTGTTTTTTTTTTTTTAATATTTATTTATTTATTTTTTTAATTCTCGGCGGATACAACATCTTTGTTTGTATGTGGTGCTGAGGATCGAACCCGGGCCGCACGCATGCCAGGCGAGCGCGCTACCGCTTGAGCCACATCCCCAGCCCATATTTATTTAATTGTTGTTGTTGTTGTTCAAGGGATTGAACTAGGGGCGCTTAACCACTGAACCACATCCCAGTCAGACTTATTTTTTTATTTTCAGGGAGGGTCTCACTAAATTGGCCAGGCTGGTCTGGAACTTGTGATCCTCCTGGGGACCCTCCTGATTCACTGGAATGACAGGCATGTGCCACCACACCCAGCTCTACTAGCTATTTTGAAATACGCAATTAGTTGCCATCAATCATAATTACCCTGCTACCCTATAGAGCATCAGGCGTCGTTCCTGTTCCTATCTTTCTGCGCCCCTTTTAATCTAACTTTCTGTGGTGAATGCCAGTCTCCATGCTGTGGCCGGCAGTCACTTTCTTTCTTGGGCAGAGTCATTCATTCTCGGTGGCTGGGGAGCACTGGCAGGTCCTTGGGCAGGCCACAGGAACCATATTTGAGAAGTTAAAGAAAAAAAAAAAAAAGCTGAGCATGGTGGCACAGGCCCAGCGACTGGGGAGGCTGAGACAGGAGGATCATGAGTTCAAATCCAGTCTTAGCAACAGCAAGGCACTAAGCAACTCAGTGAGACCCTGTCTCTAAATAAACCACAAAATAGGTCTGGGGATGTGGCTCAGTGGTCGAGTGCCTCTGAGTTCAATCCCTGGTACCAAAAAAAAAAAAAAAGTAAAAAAATAAAAAGAAGTCCCCAGGGGACTGGGGATGGAGCTCCGTGTTTACCTGAGAAGCTTGAGGCTCTTGTGTTTGTGTCACAGTATAGCCATTAAAAAAAAAAAAGTGTCCCCTCTAGTTGGACAGTTTATGACAGAGAGATGCCTCACCAAGAACATCTCCCTGTCACTTGATTCTGGGATACTAACCTTTGTGCAAGAGGCTTGTCTAACCTGCCCTACTGTGTGTGTTGGGGGTTTGTGCCTAATGGAGAGCAGGGTATGCTCCCAAGTAAGTAAGACTTTTTTTTTAATGTTTATTTTTTAGTTATAGGTGGACACAATATTATTTTTATATGGATAGAACCCAGTGCCTCACACATGCTAGGCGAGCGCTCTCAGAGCCCCAGCCCCAGCCCAGGAATGCATTTTTAAAAATGTCTCAGCGACCAGAATATAAATGTCTCAGCTCATCCCCTACTTTCTGGGTGTTTCTGGGGTTTTTCTCCTAGAAACTTTCTATGCCTGCAAACCTGTGGATTATAGGCAGTCAGACATGTTTGTTTACAAATAGGTGAATCTTCTACTCTCTCCTTTGTTTTAAAAGTTCCTCTTTTACTTAACAATAGATGTTGGCCACCTGTTGGAGTCAGCAGTCCAGAATCTTCCCCTTTCTTTCTAAAGACTTCCTGGAGTCCCATAGTTATTTAATCAGCTCCCTCCTGCTGGGTGATTCAGACCTCAGGGCTCCTTTTCTATGCATATTAAAATTCTGGGTGAAAGGGGCTAATCCCAGTTTTCCTCATTTCCAGTCCCTGAGGGGAATCCCGCTGCAGCCTGGGGACAAGGCACACCCAACCCACACTAACCTAAGATAAAGAAATGGCCTTTCCATTCTGCCTGGTGCTGTCTTACCTTACTTCTCTTCACGGTCAGAACTCTTTTATTCCCCCACCCCCAATAAAAATCGTCTTTTCAGGTTTTAAAAATCAAACCCATTCAAATGATGTGAGAAAAGTACAAAGAAAATTAAAAAATCACCTGTGATCCTCAGATGCTCTTGTGTTGACCCCTTGTCCTTCAGACACACAAGGCCAAGGGCAACCTATGAAGGTGGCATGACTCCTTTCCTGGGGTCTGTCCTCTGCCTCCCCCTTTCCAATAAAATATAAAACAGAAAGATTTTTCCAGCCCTTTTTATTTTTCATTTTGAGTTTTGAGACAGGGTCTCTTAGTTGCTGAGGACCTTGTTCCTGATGCAGCCATCTCCTCTTCTGGATTTCCTGTTTTTCTGAAAGTCAGTGCTGGGCTGGGGGCACAGGTCAGCTGTACAGCACTTGCCTGGCAAATTTGGGGCTCAATGATAAAGCACCCCTGAGATCAATCCTCAGTACTGAAAAAAAAAAAAGACTTTGAAGAGGTCTCTGATCCCTTCTGGCATGTGCACACAGAGTAAAAGGTGGCATTTATGAACCAGGAAGCCAGCCCTCCCCAGACATTGATTCTGCTACCATCTTTTTAAAAATTTTATTAATTTTTTTAGTGTCTGGGATAGAACCCAGGGTTATTTACCCACTGACCACATCCTCAGTCCTTTTTAAAAAAATTTTTATTTTGACACTGGGTGTTGCTAAATTGCTTAGGGCCTTGCTAAATTGCTGAGGCTGGTTTGAACTTGCAAGCCTCCTGCCTCAGCCTCCTGAGCTGCTGCGATTACAGGGCCAGGGCATGTACCATGGCATCCAGCCAAATTTCTATTGCTTATAAACCACCCAGTCTGTGGGGTTTCCTTATAGCAGCCCAAACAGATTAAGATACCCCGGATGAGCTCCATATCATTGCCAGGGACTCCAAAGTCCCCATCTCTAGCCCAGGTCTCTCCAGAGCTTTGTATCTGGCTACCCTACCCCATCTATGGACCCTTCCCTGGCTCCCACACTGGTCCCTAATCTTGGTTTCCTCAGCCAGAAATGGATGGGCCCAGGAGCCCTCCAGAGCTCTACTTCGTTCAGATCTCAGCTCTGGGAGTTACCTCCCTTCCCCAGGGCCTTGGTTCCAGCCAAGCCACATCCCCCAAATTTCTGATATGGTCCCTAAAGTCCATCCTGTCTTACTCAACCTTCTCCTTTCCTGCTTTCTGGGTTTAATTTCCCCTCCCTTACCCTCTTCATGTGCCCCCACACCAGACCACAGAGTTCTTTTCCCTGTTTCTTGAATGGCCAGGCACTCTGCCCCCTCTCTCTTTGTAAGGGCTTTCTAGTACTCCATCCAGGGAATTCTCTCTCTGGGCTTCAGAACCCCACTCAAGCCTCTCTTGTTCTTGTTTTGGGGTTTTGGGGATTAAACCCAGGGGTGCTCTACCACCCAGCTAGAGCTATAATCCCACCCCATTTTGTTGTTATTTTTAGACAGGGTCTCACTGAATTGTCAACTGGCCTCTGGATTTGTGATCTTCCTGCCTCAGCCTCTTAAGACACTGGGATTGTAGGCATCCCTGGCCACCATTACTGGCACATCTTCCTTGCTTCTTTTTTTTTAATTTTTCTTTTAGTTGTAGATGAACACAATAACCTTTATTTTATTTGTTTATTTTATGTGGTGCTGGGGATCTAACCCAGTGCCTCAAGCATGCTAGGCAAGCACTCTACCACTGAGCCACAACCCCAGCCCCACATCTTCCTTGCTTCTTGATCATAGATTTCCCATCACTATTTTGTAATTGTTTAAGTGTCTGTCTTCCAAACTAGATAGGAAGCGCTCCCAAGAAAGACACCGAGTTTCTGCTTCACCTTTGAATCCCAGGTATGTGAGAGTGTGAGAAATAGAAAGTCCACGGTCCATTTTCAGAATATAGCCTTAATTGGATCCAATTATAGTCATTTTAATTATAGTCCTTCCCTTTGCCAGCCCCAATTTTAAAATTAGTTAATCAGGTAGATGGTACCCCGAGCTTCTCCAACCAGGGCAAAAAGCCAGGCTGTGTTAGGGATAAAAGCAGGTGGACTCCCCACCCAGGCTCCCTGGCTCCTCAGGTTCTGGTAGCACACCCTTTTGCCAGGAGTAAACACTGTGCCTACCCACTGTGGAGCATGGTGTTTGATTTCTTGCGGCACCTTGCTATTTCTAACAGAACAGGACCTGGCAGCTTGTATGTACCAGAAAACACTATTTGAAATGAGTCAGAGCCCAGCATGGTGGTGAGTGCCTGTAATCCCAGTGGTTTCAGAGGCTGAGGCAGGTGGATCAGAAGTTCAAGGCCAGCCTCAGCAATTTAGCAAGGCCCTCAGTAACATAGCATGACCTTGTCTCACAATAAAAAGTAAAATGGGCTGGGAATGGAGCTCAGTGGTAACCCTGGGTTCAACCTCTAGTATGAAATAAAATGAGTCAGAAAGGAATTTGGTGGCCCACGCATGTAATCTTAGCGACTCTGGAAGCTGAGTGAGGAGGATCTCAAGTTCTAGGAGAGCCTGGACAACTTAGCCAGCGAGACCCTGTCTCAAAATAAAATAAAATAAAATAAATAAAGAAAAGACAGCAAAAAGAAAAAAATTGAATGAGTCAAAACCGACATGGAGGTAAGGGTCTATAGTAATAACTACTCAGGAGGCTGAGGAAGGAGGATCTCTAGAGCCCAGGAGTTCAAGGCCAGCCTGGGCACATATAGCGAGACACCCCCATCTCAGAAAAAAAAAAAATAAAAGTTTTTTTTTTTTTTTTTTTTAAGAATGTGTTAGTAATTAATGAAGGAGGAAGTCAATGAGCAAACAAGCTAAGGACTGTATACATACAGGCAGGTGTGACTTCGGCCCCGCCCCTCCCAGCGGCCACGCCCCACGGACGCCTCGCCCCCGGAACTACAATTCCCAGAAGGCCCCGCGCGGCGAGCATGCGCAGCGCGGCACTCGGAAGCTGCGACGCTGAGTTTCACTCCGGCTACCTTCTGGTCGGACTCGGGAGCCGCAGACGGATCTCTTCCCAGGCCGAGCTGGACTGCAGCCGGAGCGCGGTGGTGTTCTCAGGCAGTCCCCTCGGCCTCCTCAGCCTCGGTGAGAGGGGCGGGCAGGGGTCCCGAGGGCAGAAGGTGTGTGGGGGGGGGACACCGAGCCCAGCTGGGACCGGAAGGGGGCGGTTGTGCGAGTGAGGGCGGCTGGGCCGGGCAGGAGGGGAGCCCGGGGTCCCGGGGGACTGGGCGGACTGGACGCCTGGAGGCGCGAGTCGCAGCACTGAGTTGCCCGGAGCTGGGGACACGGAGTGCGGGGAGGGGACTACCGGACTCTCGGGGAGGCGCGCCCCTGGGAGTTCGGGTCTCACAGGACCTGGAGGCGCTGGGGGGACCTTGCCACCGCTCGCTGGCCCGGGTGTGCGTTCTGCTGGGGTCTGCGTCCCGGCGTAGGACTCCCTGGGCCCGGGGCTGCACTCGGGAGGAGTTTGCCTCCAAACTCTGCGTCTCTCCTCGCTTCTCAACTGGGCTCTCCCTTCCCGCAAGCTCCTGTGTCACTTGGAAGGGGTCCTTAGTGTAGCTGAAGAGGATTTACAGGACTTTCTTTTTCTGGAGCTCCGTCTTTCTGGGCCAGCTGCTGTCCTCCGCGCTGGCTTCACTTCCCTAAGTGCTAACAACATTGAAATAGGATGTGTATAGAGGCGTGGACCCTGGAGGAACTAAAAATATTTCTGCGTGCCATCCTAGCTCCTTTAGAGTTCTAGAAAGTAGATTTTCTGGTAGCCAGAATCAGGGTCAGCTTAAGCTATTCGGGTAATCAGGCCCCTTGTTCATTTGCTGTGTGATCTTGGCCAAATTTTGCCCTCTCTGGTGCGTTGATTCCTGGATGCCTAAACTGTAGACTGGCCTCAGAAGTCCTGTTAGGTCCTTCTGGGAAAGGGCTCAATTTTTTTTTTTTTTTTTTTAAAACCATTCCCTTGATTGTTGAGTAGGCTGAGAAAGACTCTACCTTCTGCTCTGCCCAGGCTGTTGGAGAATAAATCTGGCTATTTCCAGTCCCCAGCCACAGCACACCGATTCAACATCTGTGCACTCATTTTTCCTAACTGCTGTTTCTCAATTTAAAACCTGATCATCTTCTTGTTGGCAAAGGTGCTTGGAATTTGTGTCGCTGAGTCAGCAGGCCCTTCAGATTTGCCCAGTTTTTGTTGTTTGCATTTCATATCAAGATGGGAACTCAAACAAGTTATTCCTCCTAAAGATCTGGTGTCTCCATCAAGAAGGGACAGTTTGTGCCAGCTCTCCAGAGAGACCAGGTGAGAGGCAGGGGGAACTTGACTTTGCTGCCGATGCAATCTAGTTTTCAGTAGAGAAGATGGGCACTGCGGAGGGTGCAGTTCCACCAGGATGAGAGAGATCCTGGGAATTATTGTTGATTGCTAGATAAATTCAGGTGGCTTATTGCCAACTCCTCCTGTCCAACCAGTCTTAGAGGATGCTTTTGACTTTGGGACACGCTCTATGGGATGGAGGACATAAGTCAAGATTTATGTATTGGAATGGGAATTTTCATTTCTTTGGTTGCACAAACCTCTCCTGGGTGCCAGACAAGATCTCCATCTTCTGGGAACTTGTTTGGGTGGAAAGACAAGACACCCCACAGTTAGTAAGGAGACTTTGTCAGTGTGGCTCTAGGGGAACACAGGGCAGAGCCCCCTCTCAGAGTAGGAAGTAGTAGGTCAGGAAAGTTCTAGACAGTGACCCCTAGCTGGGTTGTGGAGGAGGAGTGGAATTCGAAAGCAGGGAGGAAGCCCAGCAGGGCAGCAGCATTTGTAGAATTCTGAAGGCATCCAGGCAGGGCTGGATCAACTTAGGTGGCTCTGTGACCAGAGCAGCAAGTGGGGTGAGGGCAGAGAAGGCTGGAAAGGTAGGTGGGGCAGAGTAAGTGGAGGGTCCTGACAGGTGCTGTGGTTTGTCCCCCAAAGGATCACATGCTGGAAACATGTGATCCTAGTGTGGTGGTGAGGTGGTGGAACTTTTAAGAGGTGGGGCCTTCTGGAAGGTCATTAGACCATGGGGGCCCACTTTCATGAATGGATGAATGGTTTTGTGGAGTGGATTGGGCCTTCCAGGAGTGACCAAGTTCTCCAGAGAGCAGGTTGATAGAGTGGCCACCCCACATGCTTGGGCACTCCTGTGCCTCAGTTTCCCTTTACACTTCTCCGTTATTATCTGGACCCTCCAGCCATCAGAGTTAATGAGCCAGTTTTTTTTTTTTTGTTACCCAGTATCAGGTATTCTGTTTAGCAACACACAGTAAACACCAGAGCTCTGGGGCATGGAGGAATTTTAGCACAAAAACTTCACTAGGGCCTTTTTCTTTAATACATTTATTTTGTTTATTTATTTTTATGTGGTGTTAAGGATCGAACCCAGGGCCTCGCACATGCCAGGCGAGAGCTCTACCACTGAGCCACAACCCCAGCCCTTCTTTTTTTTTTTTTTTTAGTGGGGAGAGTACCTGGGATTGAACTCAGGTGCCCTCATCACTGAACCACATCCCCAGCCCTATTTTGTATTTTATTAGAGACACGTCTCACTGAATGGCTTAGGGCCTAGCTAAATAGCTGAGGCTGGTTTTGAATTCACAATCCTCCTGCTTCAGCCTTCTGAGCCTCTGGAATTACAGGCATGCGCCACCGTGCACAGCTATACCTGTGTATTTCTAAGAAAAGTAAAAATGTGAGGTTATATTGCTAAGATTTATGCAGACTGTTTGGTGTTGTTGGGCTCATGTGTTTATACTGCTGCATAAGATTGATGGTGTGAAGGGATCACCCTTCTCTCAGCTGATCATCATTGATGGGCACTTCGTTGCTTCCGTGGTTTATTCTTTGAGCACCCTGCCCTGAATATTTCCATGCAAGTGTTGTGTTATGCCTTGGCAAGAACATAAACCGGAGGCTGGGCACAGTGGTGCACGCCTGTAATCCCAGCGGCTCAGAAGGTGGAGGCAGGAAGATCGAGAGTTTGAATCCAGCTTCAGCAATGGCGAGTTGCCAAGCAACTGAGACCCTGTCTCTAAAAAAAAAAAAAAAAAAAAGAACATAAATGTATGGAGAGGTATTTTGCTGGTCCTGGGGTAAGTAAATGTTCAGTGTTTTGGATATGGGCCCTGGGTTTCCACCTGAGCATCAGCTGAGAGGCCGGTGGTTGCTCCACGTTTTCACCAAAACTTGCCCTTGGCAGACTTTTCTGTTTTGGCTAATTAAATGGGTATGAAATGCGGTCTTTGGGATGGATCTTGGTTCTTAGGTCCCTGATCCCTGACATTGAACATCTCTTAGGTGTATTGATATACGTGTTTCCTGTGAAGTATTTGTTCATGTGTTTTGCCAGTATTTCTGTGGGGTTCTTGGTGCTTTTTAAAATTGATTTACAGGAGCTCTGTCCCTCGTGTATATTGTGTGTATCTTTACCCATCTTGTAATTTACTTATCCCCTTTATATAAGTGTCTTTTGTTGATCAACAGATCTTTTGTTTTGGTACAGGGGGTTGAACTCATGGATGTCTAACCACTGGGAACATCCCCCTCTTTTTATTTTGAGGCAGGATCTCACTAAGTTGTTTAGGGTCTTGCTAAGTTGCTGAGGCTGGCTTTGAACTTATAATCCTCCTGCCTCAGCCTCCAGAACCGCTGGAATTACTGTCACTGCGCCAACTTTTTTTTTTAAAGTAGTGAATATTCCAAATCTTAAACACTGGCTGAATTAAAAAACAAAACTGTAAGTCAAACAAAACACATGTGCAGGCCAGTTTGTCCCTCATCAGTGTACCCTGTGTTGATGGAGAAGGACAAAGATTCTAGAGACAATTGGGTTTACTTGGCCCCTTAGTGTCTTGGGCAAATGCTTCTTTTCTTTGGCCACCTTTTCCTCAGTTACCAAGTGCACGTGGTAGTTGCTGCTCTGGACTGCAGGACCAAGCAGGGACATTTAGAAGGTATTTAGCACAGAGCTTGGCAGAGGGGAAGCCTTGCCACCAGGGCCATTGCTGTTAGGCCTACCACTGTGTCTGCCGCACCCCCAATTTGGCCCTGGTAGGCCTGAGAACCAGGGCTGTGTCCTCCAGCTTGCTGCCGGTGGTCAGATTACTCTGGGCGAAGCAGGAATCACAGGTTCTTGATTCTGGAGGAGGTGGCTGCCCAGGGGGCAGTTGTGGATGCTGGGGCCTGAACTCTGGGTACTGTGTGGCTTTCTGATTCACACTTGGAAGGTTCTCTTCAGACCTGTTCCTGGAGGGCTCAAGTGTGGCCCCTGTCAGAAGAGGAATGCTCACTTGGGATCTGGCCACCACCTAGAGTGCAAGGGACAGGTGATGTTTGTTTCTCACCTTCTCACAGAAACTCAGGCCTGGCTTGAACAGTCACTTTCCAAGGCCAAAGCCCCAGCCCAAAGGGTTAGGGTTCCAGCACTTACCTGCATGCAGAAGGCCCTGAGTTCCATCCCCAGCACTACACTCAAAAAAAAGGGGAAGAAAGCCCATCAAAACCCCGTCTTACTGGACTTACGGGACAAGTGTAATCTTGAGGCTCTGGGATGGTTTGAATTTTACATTTTCTTGGAACTCGGGGATGTGTCTTGGCAAGAAGGTGCCATGGTAAGTTGACAAGGCCTGTCATTACTAAATAATTTGGTGAGCGTTATGATCTTCGGAAAGTGTTTGGTAAGCTAGGCTTGATGGCACATGCCTGTAGTTCCAGTAATTCAGGAGGCTGAGGCAGAAGGATCTAAGTTCGGTTTGGAGCCTCAGCAACTTAGTGAGATCCTACCTCAAAATAAAATTTTTGAAAAAGGGCTTGGGAAGTAGCTCAGTGGCAGGGAACCTGCCTAGTGTGCTGGAGGCCCTGCCTTCACCCCCTAGTGCTATACACAGACACAGAGCATTTGGTATTTTATTTATCTATACTTTGGTACTAGGGATTGAACCCAGGGGTGCTTGGTCACTGAGCTGCACCCCAGCCCTTTCTGTTTTTTGTTTTGAGATGGTCTTGATAAGTTGCTGAGGACCTTGCTAAATTGCTGAGGCTGATCTTGATTGAACTTGTGTGTGATCCTTTTGCCTCAGCCTCTGGAACTGCTGGGATTACAAGTGTGTACTGGTGCACTTGGCAGCATTTGGTATTTTAGAGACTTTTCTATATGTAGAAGTGTGAATATTCATGCTGTAGAATTTCTTTTTTTTCTTTTGTGGGACCGGGGATTGAATCCAGGGCCTTGTGCATGCTAGGCAAGCACTCTACCAATTGAGCTATATGTACTCAGCCTCATGCTGTAGAATTTCTGACAGGATTTTTTTTTTTTTTTTAAGTGGTGGTGCTGGGGATTGAACCCAGGGCTTTCTGGTTGTTATTACCTCAGCACCTCAGAAGGGTTTTGTCCTTCCCAGCAGTGTGAAGTATTGGCTGTTGCCAGCACTGAGGACTGAAATTAAGTAAAATTTGCAAGTTCATATGCAGAAAAAAAAAAAAAAAACCTCCCATTGTATCTAATTTTTTTCTTTTTTTTTTAAACATTAATTTTTTTTTTTTAAGTTGGACACAATATCTTTCTGTGTTTATTTTTATGTGGTGCTGAGGATCAAACCCAGTACCTCACACATGCGAGGCAAGTACTCTACCACTGAGCCACAACCCCGCCCTTATTTTTTTCTTTATTTGCATTGTTGGGGATCAACTTTGGGGTGTTGGCATGCAAGGCAAGCACTTGACTACTAAACTACACCTCCAGCCCTAATCTTTTTCCATTTGTTTGTCTGGTACCAGGGATTGAGCCCAGGGGCACTTTACCACTGAACCCCAGGCCCCCCCCCCCCTCCTCTTCTTTCTCTTTTTTTTTTTTTTTGAAGACTGGGAGGGTCTAAGTTGCTTAGGACCTTGCTAAATTGCTGAGACTGGCTTTGAATTTGTGTTTCTACTGCCTCAGCCTCCCGAGTCTCTGAAATCACAGGCCTGCGCCACCACACAGGTTCTGTTGTTTGTTTTTGTGGTACTGGGGACAGAACCCCTGACCTCAGACATGCTAGGCAAGCCCTCTACCACTGAGCTACATCCCCAGCTTTTTAAATTTTAGTTTGAGGTAGGGTCTTGCTAAGTTGCTGAAGGACTTGCTGAATCTCTGAGGCTGGCCTTGAATTTTCAGTCCTCCTTTCTCAACCTCCCAAATTGCTGGGATTACAGGCATGTGCCACTGCGCCTAGCTTTAATTTGTATTTTCTAAACAAAATTTCTACTAAAGTAGAATGTGTCTTTTGATTAGTTTGTGTTCAGAATCTGATTTTCCCAAGTCTTTGGAGAGGCTTCCTGACAGGGCCCCATCTGCACTTATCTTTGAAGGTCATGTTCTGTGTACAGGTCATGCTTGTGGTGTCTGATGTGGGGTGTGGAGCTTTAGGCCCTTGCTTCTTGGAAAGCATCTAAAGGACTGAGGTAGCTCAGAAAATGGGTTGGGGGCAGTGGTGCAAGCCTGTAATCCCAGCTATGTGGGAGTCTGGGGCAGGAGGATAGCAGATTAGAGGCTAGCCTGGGTAATTTAGTGAGACCCTGTCTCAATAGAAAAAGGGCCAGGGATGTAGCTCAGTGGGAAGGTGTTCCTGTGTTCAATCCCCAGTGCCTCCTCCGTCTCCTCCCAAAAAAAGAACAAGAAAGAAAATAAAATTGCTTGAGGGGTAAGGTGGATTTGGTTGGAAAGTTCGTCCTATGCTGGGGAATCAGGTGGGAAGAGGTCTCGAAGTCACCTGGTTGTACTAGTTTCCAATCAATAGTGTTTGGAACTCTATGCTTGCATTTTTTTTTTTTAATATTTATTTTTTAGTTGTAGGTGGACACAATATCTTTATTTCATTTTTATGTGGTGTTGAGGATCGAACCCAAGGCCCTGTGTGTGCTAGGCAAGCACTCTACCACTGAGCCACAACCCTAGCCCTCTATGCTTTCTTTTTAATGCAGTTCTAGGAAAGGAACCCCGGTCTTATGCATGCTAGTAAAGTGCTCTGCCACTGGGCTCTGCCTGCAACCAGAGTCCATTCCCAGTCCTCCAGGCTTTTTAAAACTGAGCTTATATAAAGTAGAAAGAACATCATGGACTTCATGGTTGGATAGACTGGGTGCTTGATCTTGGGTAAATACTTAATCTCCTGGGGCTTCTCTGTAAAATAGGGATAATTCCTACTTTTTTTGGGGGGGGGGATACTGAAGATTAAACCAGGGATGCAGCTAACACTGAGCTACATCAACCCTCTTTATTTTTATTTATTTATTTTGGTTTTAGGGAGTGAACCCAGGGGTGCTTAATCATATCCCCAGCCCTTTTTTATATTTTATTTTGGGATGGGGTCTCACTAAGTTGCTTAAGGCCTCCCTCAATTGCTGAGGCCGACCTTGAACTTGTGCTCCTCCTTCAGCCTCCTGAAGGATTACAGGTGTGTACTGCAGCACTGGGCTTAATTTCTACCTTTGAAGGCGGCTGAGGGGGTTGAGAGGGTTGGTGAGAAAAACATCAGGCATACTGCTCACCACACGGTAGGTGTGTTGCGTGCTTACCCACCCGAGAGTTCAGTGTACTCTGAAGTTATGGATTCTGCATTTCTTTTACTTGGGTCCTTAGGACTTTCATAAGCTTTTCGTAAACATTTCAAGACTGATTCATATTTCCTTATGAAGACCTTCCCTGATTGATTGATTTCCTATGTTGGGGCTGGGGTTTAACCTAGCATGCATGAAGCCCTGGGTTGAATCTCAAGTACTGGGAGAACGTTCCCATATTGTGGGGTAAGTTGCCTCCAGATCGAAGCTTTTTTCCACAGCTAATTATAATAATAATTTTCACAATTAAGAACACCCTAAATGGCCCCATCATTAGGCTCTGAAACAAATTAGGTTATTGAATTCCAGCTCTGAAGTGGCTGCGGCTGTTCCCGAGGGAGGGCGGGTGCGTTGACCAGGGCTGTGTTGTGCCTCATTGCTGGGATCTGGCACTGAAGGTTACCCCTCCCTTGTCCTTGGTTTCAGACCCCGCGCAGTGCTGGAGCTTTGAGGAGCTGCAGCCTCAGCTTGGGGTGGGCCAGACTCTGCCCTCTGGTAGTTCCCTGCTCCAGTGGGGAGACCAAATCCAGTAAGTGCAGTCGTGGGGGCCTCAATGTGGCTTCTGTAGCAAAGTGTACAGGAGGGTGGAGTCATCTCTCACTGAGAGGCTGTGCATCCAGGGCTCAGAAGGACAGGGGTTGAGTCTGGAAAGATGGGCTTCCTTGCTCAAGGCATCCCGTAGAAAGAGGGTGGAAGCCTGAACTCAGGCACCAGTGGGATCAGTGGCGGGGGTTGGGAGTAGCCAGAGTGTTCTGGGGCTTGCTAGAAGTAGATGTGGCTGAACATAAAGTTCCAAAACTGGAGAGCTCGGTGTGAGTGGGGACAGGGCTGGTTGCCAAGCAGATCGCTAGCCATGTCATCCTGTCTTGAGTTTCTAGCACCCTGGCAGGGCTTGGACCCCAGGGGTCCTGGGTCTGTGGGAGCTTTACACCCTGACAGAGCATGCTGAAACACACCCCAAGGCCGATGATTCTGGAGGTCCTGGCTGCCTGAGAGGTGAGCGACACCTCAGGAGGACCTGGCTCTGAAACCAGTCCTCTGATTTGTGCTGCAGTGTGGTTGGAGACTTGTAATTGCAGACACTGAGGTAGGCCAGCCACCCTTGGGCACCAAGGTGCAATCCTTAGTTGGAGGCTTTGGCAGCTGCCAAAAGGAGGCCAGGCACCCACAGGTGGCTCAGTGCTTTCAGGCCTGGTGCACCTCTGTCTCGTGTCAGCCCTTTGCTGCCATCCTTCAGCCACACTTTGGGGGGGTGGGTGGGTTTTAGAGGGGAAGGGAGGGAGGCTGGGACTTGTGGGCATCTGCTGTGGGCCTAATGCTGTGTGCAGACTTATGCTGCTGGTCTGTCTGAATCCTCACGAGCAGCACGAGGAAGGGCTGTCATATCTCTGTTCTCAGTGAGCGCGAGCAGGCTCTGTGAACCCAGGTGCCTTTGGTGAAATGACATAGTGGGCCTGCGGCAGCCCATACCTCATCTTTTTCTCAGGCTACTCTAGACCTTACTCGCTGCTAGGCAGTAGACTTGGCCTTCTCGTTGAAGCCCTGAGTGTAGTGCATTCTGGAGTCAGCAGCAGAAGCCCCGGCAGCCAGCCCCGTCTCTAGCCTGTGAGCAAGTTTTTGCAACCACCTGGGTCTCTGTTTCTGTACCTACAAAATGGGGATGGAATTTGTCATTTGTACTTAAGGAAGTGGTTGTGGGAATCAGCAGATTGTGTGAGCTGGACCCTATTAGCATAGAGTCCCAAGTAGGGTCCCGCATGGGTTGCTCTGACTGCTTGAAATTCGGCCCCCTCCCTTCCTTCCCTTTCTGATCTGGAGCTCAAGGCTGATCCTCCTGAGTCTTCCTCTCTAATGAAATGGCCTTCAATCTGGGTTTGCTCTGCATAGCCACTTAGTAGTAGTACATGTGTGACCTTGAATCAAGTCCCCTGATTTCCTCTCCTAAAGTGGGACAAATGCTGCCTTGTCACCAGGCATGGAGGCACACGCCTAGAATCCCAGCAACTCTGGAGGTGTGAGGCAGGAGGCTCACAAGTTTGAGGTCAGCCTGGGTTAACTTAGCAAAACCCTGTCTCAAATTTAAAAAAAAAAAAAAAAGGTCTGGTGTTGCAGCTCAGCGGTAAAGTGCCCCTGGTTTCAGTCCACGATACCAAAAAAAAAAAAGTGCCATCTTGTCAGCCTAGGGATTAACAGAGACAAGTAATTTTGTTTTGGGGGGGTTTTCTTTGTATTTTTTTTTTAAATTTGTTTTAAATTTTTTTTAGTTGTAGATGGACACAATACCTTTATTTTCTTTATTTACTTTTATGTGGTGCTGAGGATGGAACCCAATGCCTCACATTTGGTAGGCAAGCGCTCTGCCATTGAGCCACAACTCCAGCCCCCCCCATTTTTTTTTTTTTTTTAAAGAGAGAGAGAGGGAATTTTAATATTTATTGTTTAGTTTTTGGCAGACACAACATCTTTGTATGTGGTGCTGAGGATCGAACCTGGGCCGCACGCATGCCAGGCGAGCGTGCTACCGCTTGAGCCACATCCCCAGCCCTCCAGCCCCTTCTTTTGGTATTGTCACTAAGTGTTGGACTCTGTTTTTGTACCAGTGCTCAGGGGCCATCACGATATGGTGTGCTGGAAGACCTCTCTTGGGACAGCTGCAGGTGCATCCTGGTGTCCTCGCCCAGGGCCACTTAGTCAGATTCCAAACTAGGGTGTGTTGGATACTGAGCACATAGCGAGGCCCCTGCTATGGGCAGCAGCCATCTGCTGGCCAGCAGGACATGGACCAGCTTCGCGCTTGTGTGTAGCTGCCTGGTCAGTAGAGTTCTTGTCTGTGACAGGTGACTGGGAGACCATTGGTCAGGAAGGTCCAGGCATAGGGAGTTGGGTGTGGGAAGGCTGGAAAAGGCATTCTGATGTTTATCTGGGGTGTCCCTTGTGGTCAGTGATGCTGGGGGCACCTGGAGACCTGGAGGAGCCAGACCTGAGCTTCAGCCTCAGGTCTGCCCCTGTCCCTGGGGGTCCTGGGCCCCTGGTCCTTCCTGAGACACACGGCTTCCTCATCTATAGTAATAGTGGGTGTTCACTTGTACCTCCCTGCACCGGGAGCTCTGGATGCCTCACGCATCATGGGCTTAACCACAAGGATTTGCGGGGACTCAAAAATATAGACAGTGAAAGGATCAACTGAGGATTTGGGTCAGAGGAAAGTCATTGGTAACAAGCTGGGCTAATGATTAGCAACCCAAATTACATCTTCCTATAAGGAAGTAGGCTACAGAAACAACTAGGAATTCATCTTGGCTGACAGAACAGAGACGCATCAGGTACTTGCTTATTCACATGCCCCCAGGGAGAAGGCCTGATCCTCAGCGCCAGCCTCAGATGTGCATGAGTAACTAACTGCTGTGACTGTCCTGTTCCCAGGTCTGCTGGAGGCGCCGGGCAATGAACCTGAGACTGCAGCCCAGAGTGGTCTGAAGGCATCGGGGAAGCAGAGGGAGTCCCGGGGAAGATGGCCATGGCCCCAAGCCCTTCCCTGGCACAGGTGTACACCAGCCCTGTGGCAGTGGCTGTGTGGGAATGGCAGGATGGGCTGGGGACCTGGCACCCCTACAGTGCCACAGTCTGCAGCTACATCGAACAACAGTTTGTCCAGCAGAAGGGCCAGCGGTTCGGGCTGGGGAGCCTGGCCCACAGCATCCCTTTAGGCCAGGCTGACCCCTCACTGGCCCCTTATATTATCGACCTCCCCAGTTGGACCCAGTTCCGCCAGGACACCGGTAAGACTTCTGTCTCTGGTACACATCTGAATGCCTCTTTTGGGCCAGGTGCTGTGCTGTGGGGGTTGTGGATGTGACTTGCAGAGCTTAATCCTACTCCTGAAACAACACTACTGGGGTGTTTAGGGGCTGTGCGGGAGAATGGCTTCCCCCAGGTGACTCATAGAGGACATGTGCTGTAGGAGCACGTTGGCCAGTTGTGGCTCACCCTTTCCCCCTGTCTCCCAAACCAGGAATGTCTGCCCTGGCCTTCAGGGCTCTGAGGTCCCCGGCTGGCCGCAGGGAGGCGCTCTGTGTGGTGCTGTGAGGGCCTGGAGGTGCGCTTGCTCCTCCGCTCAGTGACTGGACCGGGGCAGGGTACTTTGCTCCTGGGCATTTGTGTTTGCTCCTCTTATATTGTTTGTGCTGGGAATTGACTCCAGGGACACTTTACCACTGAGCCACATGTCCCCAGCCCTACTTATTTTTATTTAAGACAGGGTCTTGCTAAATTGCTCAGGGCCTCATAAGTTGCTAAGGATTACTTTGAATTTGGGATCCTCCTCTGCCTCAGCCTCCTGAGTTGCTGGAGTTGCAGTGTGTGCCACCGAGCCCATCTACTTCTGTATTTTTAAATCTGTGATGTGTTTGGATTAGTATTACTGAAAATGGGGCCATCAGCTTCCTTTGGAGCTGTCCCTTTCCCTTCAATCTAGTGGTTCTTGATTGGGGTAATTTTTGTTCTCGGGGACATTTGACAGAGTTTAGAGACTTTTTTGGTTTTCATGATTGGGTGGGCAGGGGTTGCTGTCATCCAGTGGGTAGAAACCAGGGACCCTGTTCAGCATCCTAACAGAGCACAGGGCAGGTGGGTGCGGATGACAGTCCCTAGCTTCATGGTGTGCCCAGGAGAACAAAATTTGTTCTTTGGGGTCCACCAGGCCTTTGCCCCGTACAACAAACCCTTGCTCTCTGGGGCCAGGTCTGCACCCAGGCTGAACACAAAATTTGAGAAAGAGAGGACTGATGACACATGGTGGATGGCAGTAGACAACTATGTGTGCTCACCAGGCTGCGAACTGTTAGGTACTGGCTGAGGCCACTTTGAAGTTTCAGCTCGGCCAGCCAGATCACTGGGACAGACAGACCAACCTACAGAGCAGGAGAACTTTACCATTCCCTGGAAGGAATTTGAACTTTATTCTGAAAGGGGGAGCCATGCTTAGACAGTAGAGTGACATGTGGTTTGGGGACTAAGGGTGTCCCCACTTCCCCAAAGCTGGGATCCAGGCAAAGGCTAAGGTCAGGAGACTGAATTATCAGAAGGGAATTACTACTGGGCCCTGTGGTACATGTCTATAATCCCAGCAACTCTGGAGGCTGAGGCAGGAGGATTGCAAGTTCAAAGCCAGCCTTAGCAAATTTGCGAGGCCCTAAGCACTCAGCAAGACCCTGTCTCAAAATAAAAAAACTAAAAACAGGCTGGAGATGTGACTCATTGGTTAAGCACCCTGGATTTAAGCCCTGTACAAAAAAAAAAAAAGAATATTTTGAGGGTTGGGGATGTAACTCAGTGGTACAGCACATGCTTAAGGCTCTGGGTTCAGTCCCCAGCACCAAAAATAATTATTATTCATTCCAAAAAGCCTTATCAAATTTGAGCCATATTATTTGACCCAAACATCTAGCATTACCTCTTTGCCAAGGAATGTGAATCTCCCTCCCTCTGTCACTTGATCCTTTGGGCCCCAGTTTCTTTGCTTAGAGAGCTTTTACACAAACCCATAAAAGAATAGCCAGCACAGCTGGGGGGTGGCACATGCCTGTAATCACAGTGGTTTTGGAGGCCAAAATAGGAGAATTGATGGCAAGTTTGAGACCAGTCTCAGCATCTTAGCTGAGGCTATCTCAGAATAGAAAGGGTTGGGATGCAGCTTTACACTGTTGGGTTCAGTCTTCAATAATAGGGGGAAAAAAAGAATAGCCAACACCAATCCTTAGGTACCTGCACTTTATTTTGTTTGGCTGTGGGGGTGTATCTAGTGGGATAGCACATGCTTAGCATGCATTTGACCCTGGGTTTGTCCCCAGCTCCAAAAAAAAAAAAAAAAAAACGATTCCCCGGGTTTGGGGGTGACTATCCGCTCTGGGTTCATGGGTCCTGCTTCTCTTAAACAGGCACCATGCGGGCTGTGCGCAGGCACCTGTTCCCCCAGCACTCAGCCCCAGGCCGGGGCATCACCTGGGAGTGGCTGAGTGACGACGGCTCCTGGACCGCTTATGAAGCCAGCGTCTGCGACTATCTGGAGCAGCAGATGGCCAGGGGCAACCAGCTTGTGGACTTGGCTCCCCTGGGCTACAACTACACTGTCAACTATGCCACCCACACGCAAACCAACAAGACGTCCAGCTTTTGCCGGAGCGTGCGGCGCCAGGCAGGACCGCCTTACCCAGTGACCACTGTCATTGCCCCACCGGGCCACACCGGAGTCGCCTGCTCTTGCCATCAGTGCCTCCACGGCAGCGGAACTGGCCCTGTGTCAGGCCGCTACCGCCACTCCATGACTAACCTCCCTGCGTACCCTGTGCCCCAGGGCTCCCACAGGACCGCTATTGTCTTTGGGGCCCACCAGGCCTTTGCCCCGTACAACAAACCCTCGCTCTCTGGGGCCAGGTCTGCACCCAGGCTGAACACAACCAACCCCTGGGGTGGGGCACCACCTGCCCTGGGGAGCCAGCCCTTCTTCCGCTCCAGCCTCTCCCATCTGGGACCGCAGCTCCTGCCCCCAGGACCGTCCACTTCAGGTGGAGCCAGGTATCTCATGTTACCGCTGGTCTTTCTGTCCTCCCTTCAGGTCTCGGCAGATGGGAAGATGTGGCCGGGTGCCTGCCCCCTTGGTTGTCCCTGTTGTATTGTCTTTGCTGTGTCACGGGGTTGCTGAGGTGCCGTGGTCCTCCATAGTCTGGCATCCCATGGAGCTACCTGACCTTTGATTCTTGAGTCTCAGTAGCTGCCACATGGGTTAAAATCAGCAGTTCTTCCATTTCCTCAGGATAAAGGGCTCTGTGAAACTGAGTTCTAGACCTTTGACCTGCACTTGTCCCCATGGCTAGTGCTGTCCGTACCCGGCACATTTTCGGTAACTAGGGATGAACTGATTCTCAGTGCCAGACACCAAAGGGATGTAGAGAGAGAAGGTGTACCTCTGATCCCTAAGCCCACAGTCTAGGTCTAGGTCGCAGGAGAGCCAGGAGCTCAGGGTAAGGAGAAGAATGTTGAAGTATGTGGCTCTGTGGCCACTGGTGGCACTAGTGATACAGCTACCAGATTGGTGCAGTCCAGCCCAGAGTATCTTTTTTTTTTTTTGGTACCGGTGATTGAACCCGCAGTCACTTAACCACTGAGCCACATCCCCAGCTCCCTTTTTTTTTTTAATATTTATTTTTTATAGTTGTAGTTGGACACAATACCTTTATTCCATCCATTAATTTTTATGTGGTGCTGAGGATCGAGCACAGGGCCCTGCACATGCTAAGCTAGCGCTCTACCACTGAGCCACAATCCCAGTCCCCCAGTTCCTTTTTTAATGTTTTATTTTGCAACAGTGTCTCTTAAGTCCTTAGGGCCTTGCTAAGTTGCTGAGGCTAGCCTGGAGCTTGGTGATCCTCCTGTCTCAACTTCCAAAGTCACTGAAATTACAGGCATGTGCCACTGCATCTGATAACATTTATATTTTCAAATTGTATTTAATTTTGTGATACTGGGAATTAAACCAAAGTGTGCTCTGTTACTAAACTATAGCCCTAATTCTTTTTTATTTTGAGAAAGGGTCTTGTTGAGTTTCCTAGGCTGGCCTCCAATTTGTGATCCTCCTGTCTCAGCCTCCTGAGTAGATGGGATTATGCTAAGCCAGGCACCTCCTGGGGCTTCTTAAATTCTTACAAATTACTTTGAGGCAAATTTGTAAATAGCATTAGAGCTGGGATTCTGGGATTTAGTCAGGTGATTTGTTTCCTTCTCATGGTACAAAGCTCTCATTAGTCTCCCCCTAATATTTGTTGTGGTTTTTGCTCCCCACCTGAGGGCCTCAGACCCTCTTGGCCCTATTAGTGCAGGCCAGGCAAGTGACAAGGAGGAGGTAGATGGGCCCATGGTGTTTCCCTCTGGTGCTGGGCGGACCTCACATGTCACAGCTTGCTCTGCATCAAAGCCAGGAGGAACCAGGCCAACCTGCCGCTCGGGTGGAGACTCTTCAGAGCGCCTGCCTCCCCTGCCTCCTGGGATGGGTGTGCGTCCCTCTTCCTCCAGTGGCTGGGGCTGGGAGGGTGTGACTGCACTGTGTGCGTCTCTCCAGGCTTTGGAAAACAAGGCTTGTCCTGGGCCTAGTTTGTAATGTGACGTTCCTCAGTTTCAGGGGCTTGATTAAAAATCTGATCTCTTACCCCTGCAGGCCGGGAGAACGGAGCAATCCTTGGCACTGTGTCCTCCTGGGGCTGTGGTAGAGTTCTCAAAGCCAAGTGAATGTCAACAGCACTGGGTGAAAGTTACTTGTCACGTGGAGGGAAGAGGTGGGAGGACAGGCAGTGCAAGTCCAGACCACAGCGAGGGCTGGGGGGAGCCCAAGAGAGAGTCGGTAGCACCTGGGCTGCCATCTGAGCGAGTGGCAGTGCAGGCTGTTGGGGAGCCCATGTCTGTTTTTGGAATGCCTGGGCTGCTTTTTTTTTGCTGTGTTGGGGAGCACACCCAGACCCTGAGCATGCTGGCAAGCGCTCTGCCACCGCCGCACCCTCAGCCCCATGCATGTGGTCCTCCATTGCTTCTTGCTCAATCTGAGTGAAACCGGCTGTGTGATTCTTCTTGTGCCCCCAGGAATGTGCAGTAATATGTGGCAGGCTGGGCATTTGTAACTGAGCTGCTGGGTTTAAGTACATTTCCTGGTAGCTGAAGTTTATCCCTTTAAGCACCAAAACTTTTGTTGTGATGAGGGAGGGTGAAACTGCAATGTGTGTCATGCACACTCCTGTCTTCTGTAAGAGAGAGAATGACAACTTGCCAACTTGCTTGGCATTTTGATGATTGGGTGGTGATCATGATCAGCATTTTTTTTTTTTTTTTTTTTTTGGTACTGGGGTTTGAACCCAGGGGTACCTAACTACTGAGCCACATCCCCAGCCCTACCCCTTTAAAATATTTAGAGAAAAGGGCTAAATTGCTTTAGGGCCTTGTTAAGTGCTGAGGTTGGCTTTTAGCTCTCAATCCCTCTGCCTCAGCCTCCTGAGCTGCGGGATTGCAGGTTGCTCCACACACGCAGCGTGATCGGCCGTGGAGCCTGGTGCTGGGTTAGCCCATGGGCGCTGCCCTCCCTCACTAAACGGCCTCACCACATGGCGCTCCTGGTTTGCTTGCATCTGCTGTTCTTGCCGCCGCTGCTGTCCTGGCCTGGGAGACGACTCCCCCCTCCCCGTGCTGGCCGGGCATTCTGGCTGTGGCTATCCTTAGGCCTGTGGGATTGGAGTCCTGGGTGTAGTGAGAGCCTTGCTCCTAGTTTGCCTTGGGCCTTTGGATAAGTGCTGGTTCTTTTCCATGGTGGTTTTCCTCTCCGGATTCAGGAGTTGGGCTGGCCGATTTGTTCCCTTTTGTTCTGATCTTGTTGCTTTGCAGGGTTTACTGAGGGCCTGCCTTTTGTTCCCTCTGCTCCACGGAGACCTGGGGAGCCTGGTGTTTGTGTAGGGCTTAGATCGTGGAGGGCTTAGCTGCCCTGGGGCCTTCGGAGTTAGCCCGCAGGGAAACTGGAGCTCAGGAGGGGTCTTGCATGCCCAGGAAGCACAGCTCACAGGGTTGGAGGGTTGAGAGTAGTGTCTCAGGCCTCACATTCTGGGCTCTTTGTGTGACAGGTGCCTTCTGTGTGCCAGGTTGGCACTGGCTGCCAGTTGAAGGTGGGGTGGGGGTGGAAGAAGCTTTGGATGTCCTTCCCTTCAGCCTCCTCACTCTGCCCCTGAGTCTTCTCAGGATGGCGGACAGGTGAATGTGCTTCCAGTCTGTCTTCCTCCTGCTACTTCCTGAACACAGCAGGAACTTGTGTGGAGGAGGGGCTAGATAAAGACAATTGGAGAATTTTCTACAGAACCTGGCCACACTTCCTGGTCTCAGTCGCTGGAATCCTCACTGTAGGGTTTCTGCTCTAGGCCTTGGTGATAGAACCAAAAAAGCAGACTTTCTGCCCAGATGTGCACCTTTCCTTGGGAGGGAGGGCTCCACTTCCTGGGGTCTTTCCATGAGGGGAGCAGCCATTTCTGGAGGATATTTGAGCTTGGCCCCTCTAGCCCACTCTGTTCTGACTCATTTGAAGCTGCAGAGTCAAGCTTGGGTTTTTCTGGCCTCTTAGCTGAGGCCGCAGCTCTTTGCTCCCTGGAGAACTGGCCTGGGAAATGAGCAGGAGTCTCAGCACCTTCACTTAGGAGCCTCAGAGTCATTAGGTGATCACCTTCCTCTAAGAGAGGACAGTTGAAGCATCTCAGGAAGGAGCTTGGCTTGATTATAATGACAAAGACCTCAGCCCAGGTGGCCAGCTCCCAGTCCCTTTTGCATGATCAGAACACCCTGGTCCATTTTCTACTCCTGCCTTTGGGCTTAGAGTAGTGAGGGAGGCAGGAGGCTGGGCTTTGTGTAGTCCAGCCATGCAGGGCATCTTGTTGGGAAGATAGCAAGAAATATATAACCTCCATCTTAGCTCAGGTGAACGCGGGAGCCCTGGCCTGCCCAGCCTACAGAACCCAGGCTGTCCTGGGGAGCTCCCGTGTGGGGACCATGTGGTGGGAGGGTTTTGTAATCTTGATATTTCATCACCTCTAATGGGCAGGGATGGATGGGAGGTCCCAGGCTGGAGGGAGGAGGAGCTGGCAAGAGCTCCTTCCCCAGTTGTTCTCAGTGGAGAGTTGGCCCCAAACTAATGATGTGCATTGTTACCATTTTAAACAGTTGAGGATTTACAACCAAATGAATGAGTTTGAACATAGTCACTCTGGGAAGCAGAATCTTCATTTAAAAAAATATTTTTTTGCAATGCTAGGAATAGAACCCAGGGCCTTGCATGCTCTGAGGCATTTGCTATGCCCCTGAGTTATAACCCCAGCCTAAGATCCCTTAAAAAAGTGCATACCTGTAATCCCAGCGGCTGGGGAGGCTGAGGCAGGAGGATTGTGAGTTCAAGGCGCTAAGCTACTCAGTGAGAGCTGGGGATGTGGCACAGTGGTTGAGTGCCCCGGAGTTCAATCCCTGCCCCCCCCCAAAAAAAAAAAAAGCAAATCCCAAAAACCTTTTTGGTATGAATTTTAGATTTATAGAAAAGTTACAAAAATAGTACAGTTTCCATAGCTCTCTCATCAGATGCCATCTCATGGGCACAGTGGGGCAAGCCTGTCATCCTAGCTACTCAGAAGGCTGAGGCATGAGGATGGCATGTTTGAGGCCAGTCTGGGCAAATTAGGAAGATCCTGTCTCAAAAAAAATTTAAACACTGCAGATGTAAGTCAGTGGTAGGTACTTGCCTAGCACACACAAGGCTCTGGGTTCAGTGTTTACTACCACAGATGTCCTGTCTGTATTCTGGGGGTGGGTGTCCCACCCTTGAACTGCTTGATCAGGCTCTCTGGGCAGCAGTGGTGTTTTGTGTGGTGATGTTGGGATGGAACCCAGGGCCTCCACGGCCAGGTGAGTGCTACACCCCTGAGCTGCACCCCGACTCCGTCTCACTTGAACATTTCTCAACCATGGTGTCCTCAGAATCAGGAGGTAACCCTGTTGGACTCGCCATTTTCTGCTCCTGCCCTCTTTCTGTCCCAGGACCCTACCCAGGGCCCTGCTTTACCAGCCATTGCCATTCTCCTCTCTCCAGGTGGAACCAATCCCAGTCAGTCTTTCAAAGCTCACCACTTTAACAAGGTGCTTGATCAAACGTTTCTTGATTTGGGTTTGTCTGATCTTTTTCCACGATTGGACTAAGACATGCATTTTTTAGCAGGAATCCCACAATAACGATGATAAGTCCCTTTGGGAGCATCTTATTGTGGCCTGCAAGATACTGATTTGCCTTGTTACTGGTGGTGATGTCCTTGATCACTAACGTGGACGTGGTCTCCACCGTGATCTCCGCAGGGCTCCCTGAGATCTTCACTGTAATGAAGCTAGTGAGCTCAGAATGTTGCGAGCTCCTCTTTTAGGGTCATCTTTATGGTCTTTGAACTGTTCAAAAAAGAACCCAGGGGCTCCTTCCCTCAGAGGCAGCTGGGGAAGCAGGAAGGTGCCTCAACTCAGTGCGGTTCCCTCCCCTCTTTTCCAGGGAGGCAGTGCCCTGTACTCAGCTTTGCTCTCTTCTCTCCTCCCCAAGTGCCTCCCTTCCCAGCGGTCCCTCCAGCAGCCCTGGGAGCATCCCCTCCACTGTGCCATTGCAGATGCCAAAGCCCAGCAGGGTCCAGCAAGCACTGGCAGGTAGGTGCCCTGAACAGGCTGTGCCCCGCAGGGCTTGGTGGGAAGGATGAGGTGGGAGGGCTTGTCACCTTCTGGGCCCTCAGGTGTATCTAAAGGGGTTCCTTGGGGGAGTGCTGCCTCTTTCCAATGGTGGTGTACCCCAGGACATGAGCTTGGGTGCCCGCCCCTGAGCGTTCTGGGGCGGTGGGACCTGATGTGGTGCATTGGTGTGGACCTTTCTCATCCTTTTTAATTTTTGAATTGAATGAGAGTTAGAGCCACCTTTCTGCCCTGAAGTGCTCAAGGCAGGGGCTCTCTGGGGTTCATAAGCCACCTGGTTGTAGCTACATCTTGTCTCCTGGTTCCATGTGGATCATTTGTTGTCTATCTTTTTTTTTTTTTTTGATGGTGGTGCTGGGAATTGGACACAGGGCCTTGTGTATGCCAGACACACACTCTACCAGCTGAGCTATACCCCCAGCCCTATATGTCTTGATGCTTATTTATATAAAGTCTTTTTACATTCAGGCCTGGTGGCACCTGCCTATAATCCCAACTACTTGGGAGGCTGAGGCAGGAGGATCACAAATCCAAAGCTAGCTTCAGCAACTTCTCCCCAGCACCACAAAAATAATAAAAGTCTTCTTCTGGGTCTTGAGGCGCCTCTGAGGGCACTCGTAACTTGAGGGAACTGTGAGGTGTGTAAAAGTGCAGGTGTGGCAGTGAACCCCATCGTTTGCAACTGGCAGGGGATCGGGTGACAGTTGGGTTTATTGAGTCCAGGTAGCCTGCAGTGTGGGTAGACTTGCCAGGCCTGGTGCAGGGCGGCTGTGTGATGTTGTCATTGGGACAGTGACTCAGGAATGACTGGGGCTCTGGTGTATGTTCCTGTGTTTGATCCCTAAATAACCCAAGGCGTCGGTGAGGAGGCCGAGGCTCAGGGAGTTCAAACCCCTGACGCAGACCTGGGCTCAGAACCTGGGTTCTTCCCTGTGGTACCAGGTGCTCCTGAGCCTGGTGGAGGAAGTGCTGGATGGGGAGGTGACTGTGGTGTAGAAAAGGGGACTGTGGGTGGCATCAGGGGAGTGGCTTGGGGCACAGGAGGCCCTGGACCCTCCTGGGGGACACAGGAGACACCAAAGGGACACTAGAGAAGTGGTAGAAGATGGACATGGAGGGCAGGGGACTGTAACGGCAGGGAAGCCCGGCAGCTTCTCAGCCCTGCTTCCGCTGCTCAGCCGTGAGCCTCTTCCCAGCCGAGAGGAAAGAGTGAGCAGACATGCTGACCAGGACGTTCCTGCCCACCTTGGGCCACTCAGCATGGGTGCCGTAGGTGAGTGACACACCAACGCTGAGTGCTGCTGTGTGCGGGGATGTCTGCGATGGAAAAGGCCTGACCCCCCACAGGCCCAGCTCTGAACTTGGGGTCTTCAGCAGCCGCAGCAAGTTCTGCCAGGGTGGCCACTGAGACTGTAATATAGATGTTAAACACCTTTCTTTGTGGCCTTTAGGTTTGCCTGAATAGCACTGGCCAACCCCTTCTATACTTTTTTTTTTTTTGAGATAGGATTTTGTTAGGTTGCTGAGGCTGGCCTCAAACTAGTGGTCCTCTTGCCTCAGCCTCCTGAGTTGTTGGGATTATAGGTGTGCACCACGACACTCGGCTCATTTTTATTTTTTTGTGGTTCTGGGCATGGAACTCAGGGCCTCACACATTCCAGACTGGTAGGGAAACAGACCCCCACAGTTCAGGAAGTTGGTTCCAGGTAGGAAATAACGAGATACTGGAGCCTGTTGCAGATTGCCACCTGTCAGTGGTTGATACCTTTTGGTGGGACCATTTTCTGGGCCACCGGGGAATGAGAGGACCCCAACCAGCCTCCAAGAATCAAGGGCTGGATTCCTGAATGTGCCATGCCTGGCTGCAGGGAGGTGAGCATTTGGGGACAGGCCAGTTTGTAACCACTTCTGTGTGGGCTGAAGGAGCTGTGCCTCCAAGTGTGTTGGGGGTGGAGCCTGTGAAGGAAGAGTAAGTGGCGTCTGTCCCAGTGGCCTGCGGCTTACACTTCTGTTAGGAACTTGCCCAAGACCAGCCAGCAAGGGGTGACCCTGGGCTTGAACCTGGTGGAGAGGCCAGAGTGGAAGGAGGACAGATTGGATCTCAGCCCTGGCCACTAGGTGAAAGGCTGACTCTGGTGTCGGGAAGGCGGTGTGTGCAGTTGTGGAGAGTAGAAATGGGAGCTCGGGCTCCAGGGCCTCTCCACTGAGGGGGCTGTGCCGAGTCCTGCTGCTGAGGAACATGCAGAGGCCCCTGCCTGGGCGGCCCCCAGTCCTGCTCGCTGCTTGCTGCTGCTGTGATGAGTTGAGTCTGTGGGTTTGGGGTGGTTTTCAGACCTTTCTTGAGAAGGCAGAGCCACAGGGCAGGGGCTGCCTTCTCTTCAGGTGTGGTGTGGAGCCTTCCTTCCTTGTTGGTGACTGGAGTATGTGGGACTAGGTCCTGTGGTGACAGGGAAGGAGTGTTGCGATGCTGGCTTCCTGGGGGCTTCCAGTGGTGGCCCTGGGATGCCTTCATTCCTTAGCTGACACGTGGTATGCCTCCTAGGACTGTGCCCTGGGTGCTAGCAATGGTCGTCAGCAGAGCGTGCTCACCCTGTGGTGTGCGTGCTTAGGGGGAGTGGTCAGCTGGAGTGAGTAAGTGATTCCAGATGGTGAAGAGGTGCGAAGGAAAGCAAGGCAGGCACAGGTGTAGAGAGTTGGAGGAGGACACGGTCCCTCTCCATAAAGGGGTCAGGGAAAGCCTAAGGCCTGCAGAGGTGGCACTTCAGAGATCTGAGTGAAGAGGGACATGTTCAGTCAGAGGACACTGTCCATCCAGAGATGTTTCTCTAAGGGAAACCACCTGTCCCTGCTCCCAACCTCTTTCTGACACCTGTGCCTGTTCGTCATTCTGTCTACCTGACATTCTGTTCCCCGAGGAATACATTTGAGCCCAGGGACAGTCTCAGCTTGTGGTGGCATTGCAGTGACAGCAGGAACAGGGTCAGCATGGGCATCTGGCCCCAGTGTGAGCCTGGGTCTTCTGTGGTGCAGGTGCTTCCTGCTGAATGGCTACTACGGTGACTCTTCCCTCACTTGGCTGTGCTGTCCTGCAGGTGGCTAGCCTCTGCCTCTGTCCCTGACTGGGCACATTTGCCAGGTAGGGAGTTTTGATCTTGTCACGAGGCCACAGTGACTGGCCTGGCTACTCCTCACACATCTGAATCACCTGGTGGGGTGCATCACTGTCTGTCCCAACCTGTCCTGGAGAGGAATGGGGTCCAGGAAGGAGGTGCTCCTGGTATCCTGCTATGCCCAGTGCCTGAGCCAGGTTCCAAGGATGGGGAAAACCACTCTCTAGTGTGGCTGAGAAGCCCAGAGCTTCTTTCCTCTGGGGAGAAGGTGCTTTTGAGCCAGACTAATCAGTGACAGGGAGTGGACAGAGGGGTAGGCGAGGGTGTGGTGGGAATGAGGACCTCTAGCAGAACAATGTGTCCCATGCAGTGTTGAGTCATCAGAGAGTAGGAAGGGGACAGCGTGGGGGAGGGAGGGTCCAGCTGGGCAGAGAGGCACATGCATCTCCTCCCTGCTACCTGCTGCAGCTCCTCGCAGTGGCACCCAGGAAGGAACCCACTGCTAGGAGCTGGGGGGTCGCCTCAGTGTGGAAGCAGTCCAGAGGGGTGGTGTCCTGCCTCCACCATGTCTCCAGACCATGTCACTAGGTTTGCCAGGTGGGGCAGAGAAAGCAGAAGCAGCCCACAGAAGACAGGATGACTGAAGGCAGGAGGGTGTGGCCAGGCCCAGAGGCCCCATGTGAGGCCAGCCCTTGTCACCAGCCCTGCTCAGGAGGCAGTTTCCGCAGCCTGGCTGCACCCCGCCACATTGCCGCAGCACCTGCCCCTCCTGCGCCTGGCACTGCCCAGAACTGCCGAGGAGGCTTCTTGGGTAGTAATCTCCCCTCTGCTGTTCTAGAGCAAGTGGCCTCCCGCTCCCTGCACGCTCTGGGTACAGGCTGTGAAGTTGCTTGGCAGACACCTGGGGACTTTTGGGCCAGGGCTCTGGTGAGCCGGGCCATTTCACCAGCTGTCTCTGGTTCCTGGTCTGGAACTTGTTCCTGCAGCACAGGGAGCTCCTTCTAGAGGCCAGGCTCTCCAAAGATCCTGCAGGTCCTGATGGCCGTTTGTGGTGCTGCCACCTCCGACTCGGCAGGGTTTGTGAAGGTCACCTGCTGAAAGCCTCCTAACATTTCTCCCCCTCTCTGCATGTCTGATCTCGCACCCGTGCAGGCATGACGAGTGTTCTGATGTCAGCCATTGGACTCCCTGTGTGTCTTAGCCGCGCACCCCAGCCTGCCAGCCCTCCCGCCTCCTGTTTGGCCTCTAAAAGCCACAGCTCAGTTAAGAGACTGAGGAAAGTGTCCGTGAAAGGTAGTTCCTATTCACAAATGCTCTCTGGCCTCTGCTAAGCCTCCTCCGAGTCTTGCTGCCTCTGGCTCTCTGTGCCGATTTCTTCTTTAACCTCCATGGCCCTTCTCCCTTCCTGTGGCCCTTCTCCCTGCCCTCGCCTGGCAACAGAGGTGGCTCCTGGGAATCTGACATTCCCAGCACAATCGAAGTGAGAGGGGCTTGTTCATGAGGACCTGTAACTTTGCAAACCTCAAGGTGTGGATGAGGCATGGCTTGGGATTCTGGGATGACTGTTTCTCCATGGGGCCAGTGTATGTATCAAGAAAGGCCCTCAAGTCCGGCGCAGTGACACGGGGGTCTGTAATCCCAGCGGCAGGGGTGGCTGATGAGATAGGACAATTGTAAGTTCAAAGCCAGCCTCAGCAACAGCAAGGTGCTAAGCAACTCAGTGAGACCCTGCCCCTAAATAAAATACAAAGTAGGGCTGGGTATGTGCTCAGTGGTCGAGTGACCCTGGTTCTAATCCCCAGTACCAAAAAAAATTTAAAAAGGCCCTCAAAATAGCTGTCGGGTTTGCTGCCCATGTGGGTTCCCCTGGTGACCGCTGCCCTGTCCATCATGTGGCCCGGGCAGAAGGGGTTTCATAGCTACAGAAGGTGCTGGGAATTTTAACAAAGTTTGCGTGGAGGAGCTTGTGGCAGTTCTGCGCTGTTCTAAGCTGGACAGTGGAATCGCAGATGGCGTTCTTGATGGTGCCATGCTGGACAGGGGCCTGGGCTGCAGCCCTGTCAGCCTGCCTTTCAGTCTCGGCTCTCACCTGCATTAGCTTCCTGAGCTCACGCAAGTTTCTCCATTCATGAGGTGGCACCTCCTGCTAGGTGGGTTGGGAACAGGAAGGACATGTGAAGTGCTTGGCACGTGCCAACAGTGGCATCGTGAGATGTGGAGGTGTGCCCGGGAAAAGAGCTGGTTTGGGGGTCCTGAGCCCCAGTCCTGGACTCTGTGCGTGCTGCTTTCGCTCTGCCTCGGTGGAGGTGAAACTGGGCAGGGTGACTGGTGACCTCCGGGGCAACCAGTTGCCTGGGAAGAGCACAGGCTCTCAGTAGATCCTGTGGTGTTCTGAGTCCAGATGTGCCTTCCCCGGGGTTGACGGGCTCCTGGTCGGCCCTGGTTGAGAACCGTGGCAAATGGGAGCTCCCTCTGGTTCTGAAAGGCTACCTGGTGAGCTGGGCCAGGTGCTGGTCCTGGCAGAGGGGTCCCTGGCTCTCCTAGAGCCTCCTGAGGCCACTGGGCTTTTCTAGACTGAAGACTCCCCTCAGCCAGCGGGCGTCCTAGCTTCCAGAATGGCCTCCCTGTGCCTGTGGCCGGGCTCTCACCAGAGCCATCAAATGGGCTCTGGAAGTCTTGGGGGGGGGGGTGGTCGAAGGAGGTTGTAGGGGAGGTGTATGTGTGGATGGGCTACTAAGTTGTGTGCATGGGGTGTGTGGTGTGTGTAGGACACTTGTGTATATGGGGCATGTATGGGGTACATATGGATGCATGTGGGTATATATGGGGTACATATAGGTGTGGGGGTGTGTGTGTGGATGCATGTGATTGCATGTGGGCGTACGAGTGTGTAAGGTATGTAGGTATATGGTAATATGGTACATGCGTGTGTATGAGACACGGGTATATGGGTACATGGTTATGCATAGGGTGCATGTGGAAGCCTGTGGGTGTGGGTGTGCATGGGGTGGGGATGGGGGGGCTATGTGGGTGTGTAACCGTGTGTCTGGGACTCCTTTGCTGGTGGCAGCCCCCTGCTGCTTTAGCTTACTAGGTGTGGGACTTCCCCATTTCTAGCTGAGGAAGCTGCACCTCTGAGGTGGTGGGATGTGGTCATAGCCAGAGAGTCAGAATCAAGTCCCCGATTCTGGCCTCTGCTCCTCCAAGTCACCTTCCCAAATAGTCATGAGCCCTCATATTTCTAAGTGTTTGAGGCCACAGGCTAAGTGCCATGCACTTGGGTTCAAACCAGGAGACCCTTCCCTCCTGGACTCAGGGACCAGGAACCCTAGTGTGACCTTGAGGCAGAATGGGGAGCCCCGCCAGGGCTTTGGCAGGACTGTGTTGCCTCCCCATGTCTTAGGCTCCTGCTGAAGGCTTGGCCGCCCTCTGATTGTCCCTATTGCCTCGGGGAGCCGCTGTGCTGATGCTACCACTGCAGGGCCTCATGTCCCCCTTGCAGGGCTGCATGCTGAGGGGCGTAGAGTCTCCCAACTCTGCACTGCATGTGTACAGCCTGAGCTGCCAGCAGCCAGCACATGTCTCCCTGTGTTCCAGCTGCTTTCCAGAATCACTTAGCTTGGAGCTGAGTAGGCATGTGACTGAGACCCCCCCCCAGTTCTGAGGCAGGTGGTGTATTGTGACAGCATCAGTGCACCTGTCATTTGCAGTGTGCAGACCTATAAGATGCCACATGGGCTAACCTGGTGCATTTTCACACAAGAGTGGTGGAAGCGGAGTAAACAACACTGCCGAAGGTTCTCTGGGGTGGTTCTTCATACATTTTTGGCATTCTCAGAGGGGCCTGGGTCTGATTGCCTGGGATGCAACTTGGGGAGTTGCGAGGTGCTGCTCTGTTTCTGCTCTTCTGCCTCCTCCAGGCCACGCCCCGGGCCAGGTTGGGCCTTGAGGGTGGTCTGGGCGGGGCTGCAGGCCTCCCTGTGCCTGCTCAGGCTATCCTGGCTTGCCTGCTAACCTTCCATCTTGGCCCCTAACATTTCTTCCTGGCAGCCTGGGCTTCGCCTGTCTGCCTTCCTCCCCGCATTGCTCTCCTCTGCTTGGGTGCTTGGGACAGCACTCACCTTCTTGTCTCTTGCAGAAGGGTCTCCAAAGCCAGAGCCCGAGCAAGTGATCAGAAGCTACACCGAGGAGCTAAAGACACCCCCAGACGAGGTACGTGTCCTACGAGCCACTGCTGTTTGGTTTGCAGACAAGAATGGACTTCTGAAGGGTCCCTGGCCACGCTCAGCCCATGGGGGACCTCCCCAGAGTCTCTGGAGTGTGCGTCAGGCTCCAGGTCAAGTGCCAACCCCACGCCTCCCAAGGGAGGTGGGCATGATTGGGACAAGGCAGCCAGGGATCCAGGGACCTGCGTCATTCCCACCTCACAGAAGTGTTTGCCTGAGCCCTGCTCTCAGCACAGACCTGGGTAATGCAGGCCATCCCTGGGGCCAGGGGGCTCGAGACAAGGCTTGGACACGAGACAAGGCTTGGACACATCGGCCTCACTCCCCTCAGGCTGGCACTGGTGCAGGAGTGAGGTGGCCTTATCCAGGTGACACTTGCCTTTCTGACTGGGAGTGCTGGTAAGGGATGTTCCAAAACATGGAAACAAAACCCCACTCTGCTGAGCTACGCCTTGGGGGCTCTGGCACTACTTTCCCCTGACTCTAACGGAGAGTCTTGGAGGTACTGGAGTGGGGTTAAAGGTCAAGCATGCTAGGCTGAACACTGTGGCTCACTCCTGCAATCCCAGCAGCTCGGGAGGCTGAGGCAGGAGGATCAAGAATTCAAAGCCAGCCTCAGCAACTTAGCAAGGCCCTAAGCAACTCAGCGAGACCCTGTCTCTAAATAAAAAATATAAATAAAGAGGGCCAGTGCTGGGGTTGTTGCTCAGTGATAGAGCACTTGCCTAGCATGTGAGAGGCCCTGGGTTCGATCCTCAGAACCACATTTAAAAAAAAAAAAAAGAAAGAAAGAAAGTCATTGTGTCTGACTACAATTAAAAAACATTTAAAAAAAAGGAGGGGGGGGCGGGGTTGTGGATCAGTGGTGGAGTGCTTGCCTAGCATGTGTTAGGCACTGGGTTCAATTTTCAGCACCAAATAAAAAAATAATTAAAGATATGTCCATCTACAGCTTAAACATACACACACACACACACACACACACACACGGCTCAGTGGTTAAGCACCCCCGGATTCAATCCTTGGTACCAAAAAAAGCAAACCAAAAACTCTTCAGCAGGCCCTGGCTCACAGGGTACCTCCACTCCTGAGCACAGTGGTCAAGATCTGGCTCTGACCCTGCCCTGGTTTCATCTCCTACTTGTGCTGGCCTGGTGTCCCCTGAAGCTGCACATGTCTTATTCCATGTTTTGGAACATCCCTGCTTGTCCATCTCACAGTTTCTGTGTCCTTTTAAAAAGGCCAGCTCCCAGCTTCCCCTTCTCCTGTCCTCCCGACTGGCTGTTCTCATTGTCCTTCTGGGCCAGGCTCTGGTCAGCCCTTTGTGGGCACATGTTACAGAGATTGACCCCAGCTGTGGTGTTTCCGCCTTTCCCTCCCAGCCTGGCCCCTTGTGGCCCGGCCAGCTGTTGGCGAGCTCGCCCTGTCTGTTCCCTGCAGGACTGCATCATCTGCATGGAGAAGCTGTGCGTGGTGTCTGGCTATGGCGACGTGACTGACAGCAAGACCCTCGGGCCTGTGGCTGTGGGCCGCCTCACCAAGTGCAGCCATACCTTCCACCTGCTGTGTCTGCTGGCCATGTACTGCAACGGGAACAAGGTGTCCATGGTGGCCCAGGGGCGGGTAGAGGTGACCTGCTCCCACAGCCTTAGTCCCGGCATGCTGGCCCTGAGTAGGAAGCTGGGCAGAACAGCTCTGAGATGCCTGCAGTCCTCGCGCTGCAGCAGGAGAAGGGTCGGCTGCTAGGCCTGGGTAGCAAGCATGGTATTGCTCCTGGAAAGTTAGTCAAGCCCTGGAGCCGGCCTGGAGACCATTTTGAAGGCCTGGCCAGCTCTCCTAGGCCTGCCATGGGCTTTAGGAAGGAAACCAACTCCTGCAGCCAGCTCAGGGAGAGATCCTGGGCTCCTCCTACAGCAGGCTCTATTACCCTCCCACTTCCAGGCACCTCACATCTTCTTTGCGATGTCCCTCTGCAGTCAGGCCTGTGCTTATGAAGAAAAGGCCCAGGGAGGGGAACATGCCCAGGGTCACCTACTGGGTGGTGCAGAGCCAGGCCCCTGATTCAGAGTCCTGTTCTACTCTACAGGGGAAGGGTCCCACTCAGGCTGTCAATGGCTGACCCCTGGCTGCTGTTCCTTTAGAGGGGTTTAGCCAGGGTGAGCAGGGGTTGGGAGGACAGTGGAAACTAAGTCACATGATGGCCATTCGGTTCTGGCTGGGCCCTGTCCGCAGTGTCCCGTCCGTCATGTAGCGTCCTGCATGCAGCTCATCATCAGTTGTAGGATTTTCTGTATGGTTTCAAAGGTGACTGGACTAGAGACTTGCTCCTGACCCTGATTTTCCTACCCAATGCCAGTCTCCTGAACTTACCCTTTGAATAAGAGCAGCGTGAGGAGTTGTAGTATAGAACTTCCCTTTTGACCCTGAGCTGCTGGGGTTCAGGTGCTCTGAGAGGAGGCTGCCTGGGCACCCTGTGAGCCATGCCAGCTTCTCCCTGATGGCCTCTCCTCCCGCTGAGGCAGTGGCTGACTGTCCAGTGTGGTTGGGCCGCTGGCTCAGTCTGCTGCGTCTGCCTGTCTTAGGATGGGAGCCTGCAGTGTCCTTCCTGCAAAACCATCTATGGGGAGAAGACTGGGACCCAGCCCCGGGGGAAGATGGAGGTTTTCAGGTTCCAGGTGTCACTGCCTGGCCACGAGGACTGCGGGACGATACTCATAGTTTACAACATTCCTCACGGCATCCAGGTAAGGGGCCTCCCCAGGAGGGGTCAGTCACACCCAGGTGCTGTTCTCCTGCCCCACCCCGGTGATGGGGTACCAGTATCCCTGCTGCCAGCCTCAGACTCCCTGCTTCCTCGAAGCTGGGGCCAGGGAGGCAGGACGCAAAGGCAGCAGTGCTGGGGACTGCAGCTATGGAGGAAAGCAGTAGCCCTCTGTCCTTCCCTGAGCACAGAAGGCCTCCTGGAGGAGGGGTCATTCCAGCTGGACTTGGGCTGGGCAGAGGACAAGGCAGACGGCAGGAGGAGCCGTGCTGAGGAGCTGCGGAGCGCCCGCAGGCACCAGGGAGTGGGGTGGGGCCCTGTTCCCGAGAGACCTACTCAGTGACCACTAAGCCTGGGCTGGACGTGGCAGGGCCAAGGCTGGATTTCAGGAATGCAAGCACAGGTCCTAGAGGAAAGCCTGGGGCAGGAGTAGCTGGAGCCAGATGGGGTCCAGATGTGGATCCTTGATGGAGCCGTGCTCTCCCCCAGGTTTCCTATCTCGCGATCAGGTCAGCACCTCCAAGGGAGGGGACTGAGTTGTAGGCGGTGCAGCCTCTGTGGTGGAGGGCAGGAGGCTGTCACCATCCCTCCCCTGCCACACTGCTCCAGCCAGTTCTTGGAGCAAGGTGCCACCCAGTGAGCGTGTGGAGGGTGTGGAGGGGTGCCCCCAGGGTCACAAAGAAAGATCCGAGGAAACCCAGTGCTTAGAGCATCCCCAGAGCAGAAGAGGGTCAGTCCTGGCTCTTGCAGGGTAGAGTGGCAGTGGTGGTGCCAGACAGATTGGCACAGGCTCAAGGGAGGGCGTTCATGGGGGGAGGCCACATTCACTTTAGTCTTTGAGGGACCAGAGTCATTGGGTCACTTGAGCTGGCCAGGAAAGCTAGAGCATGAGCCTGAGCTTCCGTGTCCTGTGCGCCTCTGCAGCTGTCCATGGCCACCCACAGCTCTCACATCTTGGCATCTGTTCCTTTTTCAGGGCCCTGAGCACCCCAATCCAGGAAAGCCGTTCACTGCCAGAGGGTTTCCCCGCCAGTGCTACCTTCCAGACAACGCCCAGGGCCGCAAGGTGAAGACCCGTTGCCCCCATCACCCCCCACCGCCGTGAGCTCTGCTGGATTCACCTTAATGTGGCAGAAGATGGGGCCCACCAGGACCCCCGGGGAGTGGGCCAGCAGGGGTGGGCCACTGTTTGCCACTCCTTTCTAAAGCATTGCTGTGGATCCAGGAAGAGGCCACCAGGATCCAGGAGAGGCTAGGGCGAGGCTAGGGCGCATGCTTAGTCAGGACATCCCATGGGTGGGATGGGGTCAGATGGCTGGTCTGTCTGCACTGAGACCTGAACAGGGACTGTGCAGCTATGAGAAAGTCTGGAAGCGCCTTCCAGGCAGATAGAACAGCTGGGTCCAGGCAGGAGCCAGCCCCCAGGGAGAGGCGGTGGGATGCTGGGCCTGGCTGCCTTCTAGGCATGCCTTGGGAGGGTCCTCCAGTTTGAGAAAGTGCTCTGGCTGCTGGGAGGTGTGTGCTGGACTCTATATATTTTTGTGCTGCTGGGAGTCAGGCTAGGACCTCACATAGGCTAGGCCTGAGCTGCACCCCAACCTCGTGGCTGGGCTCTTCCGTGGCTGGATGAGGAGGGCAGTGAGGAGGGAGGGAAGACTCAAGGTGGCAGCTGGGTCGTCGCTGGAGCGGCTGCAGAGTGGTGGTGGCTGCCAAGGTGGGGAGGGCAGGGCTGTGGCCAGGGCCCACGGGAGACCCTATGGGGCCATCCCATCAGCAGTTGGAGTTCTGGGGGCCCCACAGATGGGATCCAGGGCTGGGCCTGGGTGAGCTCATCTCCGGCAAGAGCAGAGGGACAGGGCCCGAGGGGCGCCACTCATGGGCCCTCCCTTCTCCTCTGGCAGGTCTTGGAGCTCTTGAAGGTGGCCTGGAAGAGGAGACTGATCTTCACAGTTGGGACATCCAGCACCACGGGCGAGACTGACACCGTGGTGTGGAACGAGATCCACCACAAGACAGAGATGGACCGCAACGTGACAGGCCATGGCTACCCCGACCCCAACTACCTGCAGAATGTGCTGGCCGAGCTGGCCGCCCAGGGGGTGACCGAGGACTGCCTAGAGCAGCAGTGACCCACCAACCCCCCATGGCCACCTGGCAGCTGCCCAGCCCCATGGCTGCCTGAGCTGCCCCTGGGTAGCGGGCAGGAACGTGCCTTTGCTGAGAGGCCGGAACCTTTGTGGGGCACACGTGTGCCAGGGTGCAAGGGGCCAGGCTTGTGCCTGCCCTCCCCCTCCTAGTGGCGGAGTTCTGTGGGAGTCGGCAGCCCTGGGGCCTTGTCCTTGTGGGGGCCAAGATGCAGCTACCTCAGTGCAGGGACGGGCCCTGGGGCTCTGGAGGGCAGCCCTGGGCCCCAGCGCCCAGGCCTGGCGTGGGGTGAGTGCAGACCACCCCTCCCTTGGCTGGACAGGCGTGGGTTCTGAGTCAGCTTCTTATACCTCAGATTTTGTTTGCAATAAAGGCCTTGTAGCCAACGTCCACAGGCTCTTGGTGTTTGTAGCGGATGCAAGTGTGTGAGGGGGATCTGCCCCCCATGCACAGGCCCTGTACATGTCCATTGCGCCAGGGCGTCATGTGTACTGCTTGTTCATCTCCCATCTGGTAAAGGGCGGTCTGCAGAAGCTGGGGAGCACACAGCACCCTGCCCTGCACAGCCGCTCATCCACAGTGGCCCTGGTTTACAAAACACTGGTCAGGTGCTGCTGTCTCTGGGTTATAGATGAGGACACAGAGGGTCAAAGTTTCAGTGACTGGCCCAGGCGGAGCACCAGCCAGGAAGTCTTGAGGCCATCCTCTCAGTCTTGACCCCTGTGGGGGAAGGAGCAGATGTCCCCAGTCAAGGAAATCTGTCCCCAGTTAAGGGACAAGCAGAGCCACGTTATGACTGTGATGGACTAGAGGCACCACTACTCAGCCTCCTGAGTAACTGGGATTACAAAGGTCTTTGTGAGCCCTTTGTAATCCCAGTTACTCAGGAGGCTGAGGCAGGAGGATCTCAAGTTCAAGCCCAGCCTGGGCAACTTGGGGAGACCCTGGGTGTATGTAGCTCAGTGGTAATGTACACATGAGTTCAGTCCTGGTACAGCAAAAATTCTACTTTACAAAACAATACCAAGATGGATATATTAATACATTTAGAGACAATAATCACTGAGCTACATCTAAGCCCTTTTTATTGCTGAGGATCTCAAGTTGTTGAGGTTGGCTTCAGACTAATGATACTTCTGTCTCAGCCTCTTGCATTGCCAGGATCACAGGCAAGCCCCACACTTGGCCCTCTGGTCCCTCACGTCTTGGTGCTTCACCATTCATTGAAGGACACAGAATCAGGATGGAGAGCATTCATGAATCACATATCTAATAAGGGTCTCATATCCAGAATATTAAAAGAACTCTCAACACCTCAAATGACCAAAAAGCAAAAAAACTCAATTTAAAAATGCCTGGCACAATAGCCCACCCTTGTAACCCCAGCAGCTCTGGAGGCCAAGGCAAGTTCAAAGCCAGCCTCCGCAAAAGTGAGGCCCTGAGCAACTCAGTGAAACCCTAAGTAAAATACAAAATAGGGCTAGGGGTGTGGCTCAGTGGTCAAGTGCCCCTGAGTTAAATCCCTGGTCTCATCCTAGTCCCCCGCCCCCCCCCACACACAAATTGAGCCAGGTGCTCAGGGCCCTGAAAAAGGAACAGAAGCCAAGATGTGAGAGCTGTGGGTGGCCATGCACAGCTGCAGAGGCTCACAGGACACCAAAGCCCAGTCTCATGCTGCAGCCTTCCTGAGCTGGAATTAGAACAAATTTAAAAATAAATAATCAGAACAAATTTTTTAAAAATGGACAGCACTTGCTTAGCATGTGTAAGGCCCCAGGTTGGATCCCAAACACTGCAAAACAAAACAAAACAAAAAGGCACAATGTGACCTGCTTACACCTCCACCTGCTTGGGTGGTTGAAACAGGAAAGTCACAAGTTAGAGGCCAGCCTTGGCAATTCAGTTAGACCCTGACTATAAATGGGCTGAGGGGGGCTGGGGATGTAGCTTAGTTGGGAGAGTGCTTGCCTCACATGCACAAGGCCCTGGGTTCAATCCCCAGCACCACAGAAAAAACTGCTGAGGGGCTGGGGATGTGGCTCAGTGGTAGGGCACTTGCCTAGCATGTGTGAGCACCACATGTAAATAAATAAATAAAGGTTCATCAACAACTAAAAAACATCAAGGGTGGGGGCGGCAGGGGATATAACTCAATGGTGTTACATTGAGGTGCTGGGGGCACTTGCTGAATCCCCTGGGTTCCATCCCCCAGAACAGCAAAAGGGAAAAAAATCTCTGGATGGTCGGCAAGCATGTGGAAAGGGGCCCGCCCCCACCCCCACCCCCACCCCCAGTGGCTTCGTGGAAGAGACACTGGTCAAAACCACTTTAAGACAAAGTAGCAGTGGGAGAATGTAAAACAGCTGCTTTAGGGAACAGGCAGTTCCTCAAAAGGGGGACCATGTGACTGGGCAGTTCCACCCCAGGGATCTACCCAGGCTAGGATTACTAGATCATGGCCACACAAAAACATGTTTGCAAATGTTCTTGGCAACAGTATTTGTTAATAGCCCCAAAGTAGAAACAGGCACCTAACGACTGATGGATACTTATGTATCTGTGTGGGATGGACATCAGGGATGCTGAGGGGAGCCAGATGCAGCCACATGCTGTGTGATCCCATTGCTGTGGAATGCCCATCACAGGCACGTTCATGGAGACAGCAGGCAGATTAGTGGTGGTGACAGCAGCCCGACAGGAAGTGACTGCTGAATGCATAGTGTACGCTTTTGGGGTGATGGCGTTTTGGAATTAGTGGTGATAGCTGCACAACCCTGTGACTATTAAAAACCATCGAACCAAACACGGTGACGCAAGCTTGTCATCCCAACAACTTTGGAGGCTGAGGCAAGAGGATCACATGTTCAAGGCCAGCCTGAGCAATTTAGTGAGACCCTGTTTCAAAATAAAGAATAAAAAGGACAGGGGATTCAGCTCAGTGGAAGTGCCCCTGGGTTTGGTCTCCAGTACGAAAAGCAAAAACAAAACCACCTAGCTGTGAATTTTAGGGTATGTGAGTTCTATCTAAAAATATATACCTAAGCCGGGCTTGGTGACGCACACCTTTAATCCCTGTGACCTGGGATGCTGAGATGGGAGGATTGAAAGTCCCTGGCCATCCTCAGCAACTTAGTAAGACCCTGTCTTTAAGAAAAAGGGGGAATGGTGTGCTGGGAATGTGGCTCAGTGGTGAAGCACCCCTGGTTCAATCCCCAGTACTAACATAAAAACAAAGTGAACTAAATAACTACAGGGCTTGTCCGTCAGCTGTACAGGGCTCCACGTCCCTTCCCGGAGTCCAAGTCCTCCTTTGGACAAGGGAAAGGGAGCCTCACGGGTGGCAGGGCCCAGAGAAGGCAGCAGGGCCAGGGAGGCTGTCTGGGGGCTGGAGTGGGCAGGCCAGGGCTGCACTGCCCTCTGCCCCCCACTCCTTCCCTGGGTGGGGCTGGCACCCAGGGTGCAGGAATCTCAGATATGTTGCCCTGCTTCCAGGTTTCCTGAGGCTGGCCCTCCTCCCCAGGGCTGGGAGGCTGGGTGGGGCCCCCTTCCTGACATAGGCTCTGGGCCTGCCTGGTGGTCATCTGGGGGCCCAGAGCCCAGCCAGCCCCCTCCCTTTGATGGGCTGGACTGCTGGGGTGGGTGCTGGGCAGGGAAGCATTCACATTTACAGGTCTTTCCTGCCCTCCTGGCAGCCTGACTAACCAGCTCCTCCAGGCCCAAGGTGCTGGGGGTGGGGTGCAGCCTGAGGCAGCCAGACCAGCCCCTGAGCTCCCCTTGCTCCGCTGGCCATCATGGGGCCCCCTGGGAGGCAGCCTTGCCCTTGCCTGCTGCTCCTCTTGGTGCTGAGCTGTTTCCAAACCAGCCTGAGCCTGGGTGAGTCGGGGTCCTGGGATGGATGCACCTGGCCAGACCCGAGGCGCTGGGGGCACCTGCTGGGGAGATTGAACCCGGGAGCCCATCCCCTTGAGTCAGGTCTGGTAATCTCAGGGCAGTGGGCCTCCAGGACCCTCAAGCCCTTCTCCACTGCTCACCCTTGTCCCCCATGGCTACAGAACGGATCCCCTACAAGCCACAGATAACAGCCTGGAACCTGGAAGGGAAGGTCACGGCCACCACGTTCTCCCTGGAACAGCCTCGCTGTGTGTTTGATGGGCACGCCAGCGCCAAGGACACCATCTGGCTGGTGGTGGCCTTCACCAATGGTGTGTGGTGCAGGTCGGGGGCCTGGGGAGAGGGGTGAGGGCCGAGAGGGAACCCTTCACCAGTACCCCAAGTTGTTGGGTGCAGCTGGAAGCAGTGGGAAGGGTGGGTGTGGCGAGGGAGGCGAGGTGGGCTTCAGCGGGGGGCGGGGGGGGGGGCTCTTAGGGGATGGCAGAGTCTGCTTTGTCTAGACTCACAGGGAGGGGGGCGGTGGAGGTGGTCAGGGCTGGAGGCCGTGGCCAGGTGGCTGAGGGCTGGTGGAGGCAAGACTCCTGGTCAGCAGGAAAAGGCCTGTCCCTCCCTTCTTGCCCCTGTCACCCTCCATCCTCCAGCCTCCAGGGATTTCAGGAACCCGCAGACCCTGGCTGACATTCCCGTCTCCCCACGGATGCTGACCGATCGCCACTTCATGACGTTGCCCCTGTCCCTGGACCAGCTGCCCTGTGAGGATCCAGTGGGTGTCAGTGGAAGCTCCCCCTTGCTACGGGTGGGCAATGACTTCGGCTGCCACCAGCAACCCTACTGCAACGTCCCTCTCCCTGGCCCTGGTCCTTACAGGTGGGTGGTCCCCCTCCACCCTGCCTGCCTCCCCCCCCCTCCCCCCCCCCGCACTTCCACTGCCCTGGGATTGGGCTGCGCCCGGGGAGGAGGAGCTTCTGGGGAGGCAGGGTGCAGAGCCGGCCCCTCCCAACCGCCCCGCCCAGTCCCAACTGCAGGGTGGCACGAGCCCCTCCCCTTTCCTGGTCTCCATTTCCCTCCTCTGGAGGAGGGGGCAATAGTGCCGTCCCATTGGGTACCAGGCAGAAAGAGGCCTTTCCAGAGGCCCCAGAGGGGTTCAGTCAGGGGGCCTCTTGAGGTCGCGGTGGAGTGTCTCCATCCTCCCTGCTTCCTCTGCCCCCTTGGCCACCCTTGCAGGGCCACCGTCCCCACAGCCACCCCCGCTGGGCTTCTAGCCTTACTCGGTGGGTCCCAAGATGGTCTAGAGTTCCTACCCAGCAAACACACTGAGTCTGCCCACAGAACCTCTGGATTCTGCACTCTGGGCAGACCCTGACCAAGACTCCCCGCCTTTGGCCTGGGTGCCTTTGTAAGAGGGTGCTGAGACCTTCCTCCCTGCCCAGAGCCACTGCCCAGATGGATGGAGACTGCTGGTGCAGGTCACATGCCCAGAGAGGCCTCAGCAGGTCCTCCTGGTAGGGCCAGACTACCACTGGTACCCGCGCATGAGAAGGGCCCCACCCAGCACAGGAGGGCCGCTGGGGACTCTGCTGAAGGTGGCACCGTGTCCAGGGCAGTGGAGCTCTCTGAGTCTCACCCCTGCTCCCTTTCTCTAGTGTCAAGTTCCTCCTAATGGACGTCGGTGGCGCACCCACGGCTGAGACCGAGTGGTCAGATCCCATCACTCTGCACCAAGGTAGTCCTGGGTGCTGGGACTTCCTCTGTCCTCAGGGAGCTCGCCGGCCTCTCTGGGCCACCTGCTCATCTTCCGCAGGGGCACTGGCTCTGCCAATCCCCAAGCGTTTGCCAACCCTTGGGTGCCCCACCAGCTCCTGTCACAGCCAGAAATCTTCCTCTTCCTGTGGGACCCAGGCCTGGGCCTCCTTTCCTGGGGGTGGGGAGAAGGGATTGGGCATGAAGACCAGAGTCAGCATCAGGGCTGGCTGGCTGGGGGTGGAATGGAAGGTTCTAGGGGCTTCTCTGAGCTGGGCCCTGAGGGTGAACACGGGCCACCAAGCATGTGCAAAGACCAGAGTGTCTGGGAAGGGAGTTGCCGGGGAGACGGCTGCTAAGGCAGTTGGGGTGGGGAATCTTGTCATCTGAAGACCTTGAATGCTGGGTTCCAAGGAGCAGGTAATATGGTCCCCTGGAGGTCTGCAGCCACTCTGCCTGCCATGTTCCGGGCAGTGTGGGGCAGGGGTAGGGACAAGCCCAGCAGGTGAGCCCAGGGTCAGGCTGGAGTGACAGATTACCGCTGAGATGAACAGACGGGTGGGCTTGGGAGGCTGTCTGGGTTTATGAGGTGTCACGGTGGATGGGGAGAGAGGGAGGTGACAGAGCCCTGTGTGCAGGGAAGGCCCCAAGCTCCATTGACACGTGGCCGGGGCGGCGGAGTGGCTGTATGATTGTAATCGCCTCCATCCTCTCGTCCCTGGCCGGCCTCCTGCTCCTGGCCTTCCTAGCAGCCTCTACAGTGCGCTTGTGAGTGGCAACACCCCATGGGCCCTCTCTCACCCACAGCCCTTCCTGGCCCTGGCCCTGGCCCCCGGAAGCCTCCTGTCCACACTGTGGTTGGTTCTCGACTCCTTGCAGGGAGGGTGCAGGAACTGCACCTGTCCTTCTGTCACCTGGGAGGCCATGAGGATCCAGTAGTTCCCCTGAGGACTGGTTTGGGGGCCTGCCTCCCTCTGGCCCTGTCCTTCACTGTGTCCTCTGCCAAGGCCCCTCTCTCCTGAGCCTTACGTTTCTCTGTGAGCTCGTGGGTGTCTTAGCAAACTGGTGCCAGCATAGGCAGTCATAGTGGTTACCTGGAAGAGGCCAGTTCTAGAAAGGGCGGAGAGGGAGAGCCGAGGCCCTGGGGTGAGGGTGCGGGGAGGGGAAGCAGTCCCCCACCCACAAGGGACATAGTGCCTCTTCCTCCTCCCTTGTTCAGCTCCAGCCTGTGGTGGCCCAAGGAGGCCCCTGAGCATCTGCGGATCGGCTCCTTCATGGGGAAGCGCTACGTGACCCACCACATCCCGCCCAGTGAGGCTGCCACACTGCCTGTGGGCTGTGAGCCTGGCCTGGACCCCCTCCCCAGCCTCAGCCCCTAGCCTGTGGCCTGAGTCTGGGCCTAGTGGGCAGGGAACAAAATGCAGGGAGCGTGTTCCCCACCCCTGTGCCCACAGGCCTCCTGGGGCTCCTGGCCTCTCCCCAGCATGCTCCAGCCTGCCAGGACTCCCCTTCAGCAGCCCCGGGCATCTGGAAGTGACTTTAGGAGGGGCCGTGGTCAGGCTGGGCATCTGGCCCCGCCTCTGTCCCTGTCTCTGTTCTGCCTGACCTATGAGCACGGCTGGAGACACGTGGACCGGCAGCCCCAACCCAGAGCTTGCAGACCCCAGGAGCAAACCTTCGAGAACCTGGCTCTGCCCTGGGTAGAGCCCAAGTCACCCTCTGTCACACCCTTTAGCTGCAGCTAGGGTACAGCCTTCAGAGGCATCTCTGCTGGCCCTGGATACTGGTTCTTTCCAAGGGTGGGAGTCACCTGCCAGAAAGTCAGACAGTGTTGATGACATCACGACTATCCAGCTACAGATTCCGGTCACCATTTCAAATCCCTTTGCACACACAGATGGCCACACACTCATCCATTCATCCCACATCATTCATTGAGTACCTGCTGAATGCCATGCACAGTGTTAGACTCGGTAACTCAGGAAGAGCAGGTCCCCATCTCCGGGAACTCTGCTCTGAACCCTCTGCTCTGAACCTCAGACCACCGCGTGTCCAGAGGTGACTTGTTACTGTTGTGGGGTGTCATGCCCTTCGACTTTCACTTGATCCCCAACTCACACATCCTTAGACAATCACCCCATGGACTCTCCGAGGCCCTCAAGACCCCTTCATCAGAAAGGTTGCAATGCAGACTCCCAAGCTTCTGTCCGCGAGGCGAGTGGTTCCCGCCATCGCCACACGGGGGCGCCGGCGTGCCGTGGCCAAGTAGCCGAGGGCCCGCGCGCATGCGTGCTCCTGTCCACCGCCCCAGCCCTGCGACCCCAGAGCGATCTGTGGTCGTCGGGGCTTCTACTGGCCAAGCCAGAGAGCGTGTAGGGCGGTCCCGCTGCCGCATGAACGCCTACTCTGCAGGCTTCAGCCCACACAGCGGCGGCGATTTCCTCCAGGATAGCTGAGCCTCGGTGACATGTGCACGCACTCCTTCCAACCGCTGCACCCCACCCTGTGTTCCCTGGGCGCTGCTCCCGGGCCTGTCTGACCGCGGCTCCCAGCACACAGGCCCTTGCCCGCCTCCTTTGGAGGTGAATAAATGTGGTCTGGCTTCTGCATGACTGGAGTGACGCCCGCTGGCAGTGGGACGAAAGCACGTGGCCCCAGCCCCCCTGAGGAGGTCCCTGGATTGCTGTCCCAACTGGTGCTCCATCTCTTAAGCCACAGAGAAACCCATGCATGCAGCAGCAGTCCATGCTGGGTGTATGATTCCACTCAGCTGCTTTCTCCCCAGTCTCACCCTCCCGTGGGAAGTCTTTAGAAACTCCTGAGTCCCTCATCTCTGAGGTCTGTCCCCCATCCTTCCTGCACCCCACCAGCCACAGACCTGCAGGTCTGGATGGAGGCAGTTTCAGTCCAATGCCCTGGTGGCCTGGGAGACATCTGGCCGTGGAGCCAGCCCCATTGGGTGACAACTTTTGAAACCCGGCCTCTGTGGAGCCTCTTGGGAGGGGGTTCAAGGCTTCTGTCTCCTGGACCAGCTAGCCCGGGCAGAGTCCACCTCACACTGCACTAGCCCTGGAAGGTAAGATAGGGAAGAAGGTGCCCTGCTAGCGTTTGACATGTGAAAAGATAAGTGACCCCTCCCAGACCTAAAGATCAGCTAGGAGCAAGAATAGCCAGACTCTGCACACCTGGGGTCCTCCCTATGCTGGGGCTGGCCTCTGTGTGGATCCCAGGTGCAGCCCCAGTGATCCCTCCCTGCGAACAGCCTCCCTGACCACAGAGACTGCCTCTAAACAGATGTGGTGATAGCATGGGGTGAGGACTGAGGGGTAGCCCAGGGGAGTCCAGGGGGATACTGACCTCAGCTGAGGGTCAAGGGGGCTTCCTTGGGGTCATTTCCAAGCTGATTCTGGAAGGGCAAATGGAAGTCAGTGGAGCACAGCAGAGAGAGCTACTCAGAGAGACCAGTTGTCACCCTTGCAGTGGCATGGATGACACCAGGGGGTGGCAAAAGACTGAAGGACAAAAAGACACAGGCATGAACCCGCAGGTGAAGGGGCTGGAAAGGAAGGGATGGATTCCAGAAATACTCAGGTTGCCCTAGAGTTGAGGGATGAGTGGGAGGAAGGAGGCCCTGCCGGGGTTTCTGTTAAGGAGAAAGGCGTGAACACAAAACCTAGGCCCGTAGGCTCTGAGACGTGGGTACGCCACCCCAGCAGACCCTGAGAAAGGGCTTCTGGGAGTGCCATCCTAACAGCTGAGGGGACCCATAGGGCATTAGCAAGTCGCTAATATTTTGCAAAGGTAGAAACCTACCTTAGGACAGTTGGAAGCCACTCTGGGAGGCCGCTTGACCTGGGTGTTCTGACCCTGGCTGTGCCCACAATCACACCACGGCATCCCAGAATCCTGGACCAATGCCCAGGCACAGCGGGGCCCTGGGGAGCTGGGCCAGGGCCTTCTGCCCCAGAGTCACATGCCAGAGGGGCATCAGTAGGACCTGAGCCCAGCGCTGGCCAGCTTGGGACAGCCTTAGGCAAAACACAGAGAGAGGACCATGACATTTAAAGAGACTTTTAGTTAAGTGGCATTATAAGTACTTCCCAGGATTGTATTTGAGGAAGTGCTGTGACATCCATTGGCCCCAGACTTACTGGCTCAATGGTTAAAAACAAGTGCATTATGAAAAAGGAAAACATCCAGGGGGGGAGGGAGGTGGTGACTCGCAGATGACTCATCAGGTCCCAGATCAAAGGAACCAGGACAGGGCAGGCAGGAACAGGCCATCTGGACTGCCTCCCTCTCTCACCAGCTGCTGCCACCTCACCTCTGCTCGCTCCACCATCAGTTCCCTCATCCCCACAACCTCTGGCTAGCCAGCCACCCTCTCTCTGGCTACACTCCCCACCCCCAGACCCATTAGCCTCCCAGTGTCCAGGGAGGCCAGACATGTTATATGGCTGACCACGTTGAGTCTTTGCTCCTAACTTTCAGGGACTTCATGCAGCAAGCACAGAGTCTAGATTGGTCATCTCAGGTTCAAGGGTCCCAGGGCCCCATCCCTTGCCTGATGTACAGGCCCTTGTTTGGCTTCTAGTGCCACAGGACCTTTGCACATGTTTCCCTCTCTTTGTAGAACACTTTCCACTCCACTCTACATCCTCAAGTCCATTCCTCAGCTCCACTCCAGCACCTCTTATTCAGGAAGGCTCTTCCTCACCCCTCAGATCTCCTAGACAGCTGTGCTTCTTTCCCTCCCAATTAAATTTTGCATTTTGTAAATAGACATAAAACTGAGCCTTTTGGGGGGTGCTTGGGATTGAACCTTGTGCACAGTCAGTACACCCTCTACCATTGATCTACGCCCCAGCCCTTGAACTGTGAGTTATTGTACTACCAACTCCATCTGGGAGGGCAGAGAACACCCATGCCATGTTTGCCCACCAGGGCCCTCACAGAGCCGCCCCCTAGTGGATGCATAACTATTTATTGACCAAAACACCTTTTAGAAAAGGACAAAGCAGTGGGAGGGTGGCTGTCGTCCAGCCAAGCCCCAGAGAGAGGCCTCGTGAGAAACCAGACCTGCTCAAAACTTGACCTTGGACTTCCAGCCTCCAGAACACACATTTCTATGGCATAAGCCGCCCGGTGTGAGGTCATTGGCTGTGAGACTGATACACTCCACATCATGCTGTCCTGAAACCTGGACGGTGCGATGCCCAGGACGGTGTCAGCGATGGAGATCGTGAAGTGATGGAGACCGTGAGTGACAGGCGCCTTCCAGGCAGAAGGAATTGTGTGTGTAAAGGTTTGGGGCCTGGGGTGACGTGCTGCCCAGGCCAAGGCCTGGCCCTCACCTGCTGCTGGCCCTGGCCCAGCCGTCTGCCCTGCCCCCCGCCATTTGAGAAGGTGGAAAGCACCTGCAGCCCTGCCTGCCTCCCCCGCACAGCCCCTGCCTCCCCCTCGAGGGTCGTCCTGGCTTCTGGGAACAGAACCCAGGCAGCAAGACAGGGGCAGAGGCTTCTGTCCTTGGGCCTCATTTGCTGTGTGAGCCCGACCAGGCAGCTGGGCTGATCTCCCCTGGCCTCCATGTCTCCTCTGTAAAACGAGTGTCCACCCCAGATTTCGAGCTCCTTTTAGGTTCGCCCTTTGGTCTCAGCCTCCCTGAAACTCCACTCCCTGTGGGTGACGCAGGCCAGAGGAACCCAGGGGAAAGAATGCGTTGCCCTTGACAACCATTTTTCTCCCCGGCTTCTCCCCCTGAGGGACTGAGAAGAATGTCCCATGAATCATCCTGGCCTCTCCCTTTTCTTCTCCGGCCCCCTCCTTTTGTCCCCCAGTGGAGGTGGCTCAAGATCTCCAAGGGGGGGTCTCCAGGATCCTCTGGGCTCAGGTGTGTTGTCCCAGCCCCTGTGCCTGGAGTCCAGCCTGTGGCTCAGGCCCAAGCCCTTGGGGCCAGGGCAGTGGCAGAGCCCCCAGGGCAGGGAAATGGGGTTGGGGGCAGGGGCAGGGGCAGGGGCTGAGAGTGGAGTCAGATCACTTGGAGGTCTCTGGGTGCCTCTTTCTTTGGGGTCTTCTGCAGGCAGAGCTGGGGGCTGATCAAACCCAGCCCAGAAAGTCCAGTGTAGGGGAGGGGAGGGGAGGATCGATGCGGGCAACACTGGCAGTGGTGGGAGCCCAGGGGAGGCCCCTGGCCCAGTCTGGGGTCGGGACACACGGGGGGCTGGGTGATATCAGAACTAGAGACTTTGCTGAGCTTGGAGTGGAGGAAGGTAGGATCGGGAACCACCATGGGCTCACTGAGTGACGGCCTGCCCGGATGAAGAGGTAGGGAGCTGGGGTTGGGAGAATAAGGAGGAGACAAGCCTGGGGCAAGGCGTGG